CTATCACGTGGTATACAACAATTGTAATCTATACCTATACATATAAAAAAATACCATGTGACGTCCGTGACGTACCCAATAAAAAATATAAGTCTCGACAATTCACGCAGCATCTTGTTTCACACTCTAAGCTAAGCGGAGTTTATTTTATAGGTACTAAACAACTGTTAAAAATACAGTGGACCCGCGGTAATCCGGCGCCTGTCTAATCCGGCCCCCCTTGTAATCCGACATTGTCTATTATTTGTTATTGAATATTACTTTGACAATATACTTCAGAGTGCATATACATACATACATATATAACATAGAATCTTGTCACTGGATCTGTAATTTGTCGGATTACAAGATATCTTTTGTAAAAAATCCGACAAATATAATCCAACAAATACGATGGTCCCACACTGCCCTGCAAAATGTTTGTCGGATAACCGGGGGTCCACTGTATACATATACATATATAATATAAAGAATCATCATTGGATCTATAATTTGTCGGATTACAAGGTACTCTTTTGTAAAAAAATTCGGACTATAAGGGGTCTTAGGCAGTACTCTATAATCAGACAAATTCGATAGTCCGACACTGCCCTGCCAAATGATTGTCAGACTACCGGGGGTCCACTGTACATACATTATTATTGTCAATAAATACATAACATACATAAAACATAGAAATCACCCACAACGATACAAACAATCGTACTCATGAATACAAATTTTATATTGCGTATTGAATCGAACCCACGACCATCGGAACTATGGCGGTGTGCTAAACCACCGAGGCCGTCAAATATACAAATATACACGTTATATGTACCTATATATCATCGCTGCTCCGGATTTCCCCGCCTTTGTCCTCGTTTGAAGAATGTCCAAGGAGAGTCCGTATTGCGTTTGAAATTCGACATTTGTTTCGTATATAATAATCTCAAGACAATTCACACAGCGCTGTGACTAGACCCAAGTTAAGCTAGCTAAAGCTTGTGTCATGGGTACTATATAACTCGTACAAATACATACATACATTTTTTCGTATATACCATACCTGTTATGATTACGATTATTGACGACCTCGGTGGTCTAGCGGTTTAGCACACCGCTTTACGATCGATGCTCGCGGGTTCGATTCCTCGCACGGCACAAACATTTGTATTCATGAGTATGATTGTTTATATCGGTCTGGGTGTTTTCTATGTAAAATATGTATGTATTTACAAAAAAAAAAATCTATGTATTAGTCTAGTTCCCATAACACAAGCTTTAGTCAGCTTAACTTGGGACTAGATGGCGCTGTGTGATTTGTCCTGAGATTATTAATTAATTAATATTAATTAATACCTTATATATTATACATAAAAAACGCCCAGACCGATAGTTTGTATGGGTAAATTATAAGTAAGGCGGTGTGCTTATCGCTAGACAACTGAGGCCGTCTAATAGCACAAATAATATAATATTACATACTAATAGTAAGTTATAATAAGTACGTAGACGGTCCTCCACGAGTGTACCAGAAGGGCGGCCAGTAGGGAGAAATGGCGAGTTGCTGTACAGCGTGTGACATCAGTCTCTCACTTCACTACGTAACGCCTAACGTTCTGTCAAGCGTATCGAATATTAGAAGAAGAAGTCATAATAAAGAAATAAAGATATTATTTCCAAACCGTAGCAACAACATAACCAAATTATATTCTAATTCTTGAAAAAGTCAAGGTTATGAATACATACACTCCATACTGAACTGTGAGCCATTTTGTTTTGCTGTGGCACACATATGGTGGTTAAGCCACATTCTATTGTGTTTAAATATTCTGAATGTACTGCTTGTAATTGAACCTTATAACAACACTGGTCAAGAAAAATATATATTTTTTACTTCTATTTTTTCCGTTTCTACCTCGAATTAACGCGTATTGTTTGAATATAGCAACAATTTTTCTCTCACAGCTTTTGTTTTTGAGTTAACTTCCCTCATTTACTAAGTTCAACTTAGATTTGCCTTTTTTATTGGACAATGAAATATGTTTTGTTATTGTTTTCGATATGGCTTCGTTAACAAGATGTTATATAATTAATCCCGAATGTTGTTGTTATATTTGTAGTGAATATGAATTTGTTAAATATCGAAAACCTATATCGAACTTTGTGAAAACTGGGTATCATCAATACTTCAAAAGAAAATTGTGTATATAAAAAATTGAAGCTATTAGCAATCTCCTAGTATTTTTTTCATACTCAGCAATAAAATACCCAAAAACAGAAAAAAATTAAGGAAACAAGACTTCTGTTGACCAGTGTAATATACATACATGTATGTAGGTACTAAGATACACACAAAAATTCTTATACATATTATATGTAGGTATATACATCACAGAAGACCGAAGAGCTGGCAGCTACCTTGGACAAAGAATTAGTCTAGCTATTCAAAGAGGGAACGCTGCCAGTATCTTCGGAACGTTGCCTAAAGGGACCCCTTTTAATAATATATTTTAGTCATCATATTATATTTTTTTAAGCTTTTTAATTTTAGATTCTTAGTTGTACAATTACGTTATGTAAATACGAGTAATTAATAATTACAAATAATATATATATTGGTACTATATATATCTTGAATCACTATCTATTGTTAAAAATGAAGTAAAATGCGATGCGTAGTTAAAATATCTAATAGAGCAGACAGAGCAAGCGACTATATTTCATACTACATAAATATTGCCCGTTTCGATTTTACGCAAAAAAAAAAAACGATATGGATAATAAAAAATTTATGCATATGTGAAAAACCAGGTTCAGAGCAATTCTGTTGAGGGGAATGGCCGGCAAACCTTGACCGACTATCGTTCCGACCGATGTATAGTAGGTAATTATATTGTAGAGACGTTATAAAAATATATATTACGTCAGCCAATGAACAAACGGAAATCGAGCGCAAAGATACTACGGAAGACGAACTATTTAGTGTTCCATGGATTCACCGTGCTTGTGCCGGGTCTATTGTGTGGCAGAGAGGGAAATTCTGAACAGTTTCCTTTCACTTGTGACCCGGGTGTAAGTTTAAGGGGTTCCTTTAAATCTACTGGGAGCAGTTCCTGGGTCTTATGACCCGGATAAGGAGCCCCTTTAAAGCTCCACCCGGGTCACAAGTCTTGGAAACAACTCCGAGTTCTCTCTTCGCTACACGATACAATTATTAGTTAAATTTAGAATTTCTTTTTTTACATATATACGAACTAGCTTCTGCCCGCGGCTTCGCTCGCGTTAGTTTTTCCCTTAGGGGTGGAATTTATCAAAATCCTTTCTTCATCATCAGGCATCCCCTGCCTACGTCATAGTAGTTTTATGCATGTAAAGTCTCAGCCCGATCGGTGTAATATTGACAAAGTTTCATACAAACTTTCATCCCCTATTTTATCCCCTTGGGGGTAGAATTAATGAAAATCATTTCTTAATGGATACCTACGTCATAACATCTACCTGCATGCCAAATTTCAGCCCGATCCGTCCAGTGGTTTTGCCACGTTGGATAGTAACCTTGGCCTAATAAAGAAAATATATTTAGTTATATTATAACCCAAAATAGTTTCTGCGTTCTACCTTAATAATGTTGGTAGTTTCATACAACCTCTCATCTTCGCTTTCAACCCCTTACAACCCTTTTTTGCGCTATGTCTGTATGCCAAATTTCATTTAACTCGATTCAGTAGTTTCGGCGTTAAATCGCGACAGGCAGACAAACAGAGTTATTCTCGCATTTATAATTATAGTAAGGATTTGAATGTATATCTAAATGTCCTCAAGTACCTATGTACCTACCTATACTTATTTATATCATATCAGATAAAAACTATTTGCCCTTCTTCTTTCGAATGAAGTCTGGCGATAGTTACCACTCACAATTACATGGACCGTCAGTATGTTTGTCATGGCAAAAGTATTAAAAAAAATCGAGTTTAAAAAATATGTTTGGGTTCTTCCCGAGTGATAACTTTATTTATAAATTAAATTAAAATACAATTGTGATTCAGAACGGCAATTTCGTTTTATGGTATTCCCCACCTTTGTGATACGCGTTTACTCTGCATACAATATTACTCCGCGGTTGAGCCGATCTCTAGGGAGAGAGAGCCGATTTCTAGGGTCCACTAAGTTAGTAGGTCAGCGGAAGTCTTAATGATGTAATCTTAATAATATTATAAACCCGAAAGTTTATGAGTATGGATGTTTGTTACTCTTTCACACAAAAACTATTGAACTTATTTTGATTAAATTTATGCATCAGAATAACACATAGGTTATATTTTTATTGAAATAAAACGCGGGTGAAAGCACGGGCACAGCTAGTTAATATATTATATATTAATCTGATTATTCAATAGTCAATATATTATTCTGATTCATAAGCTATATTACTGTAAAGTTTCATCAAAATCCGTTCAGTAGTTTTTGCGTGAAAGAGTAACAAACATTCGTACAAGAATTAATATATTATTATTATTTAATATAATAGCCCTGAATAATTCACACAAATATCTAAATATATATAACTCAAAGGTGACTGACAACTATGTCAGTTCACTAGATCTATCAACGCACAGCCCAAACCACTGGACGGATCGGGCTGAAATTTGGCATGCAGGTAGATGTTATGACGTAGGCATCCGCTAAGAAAAGATTTTGATGAATTCTACCCCCAAGGAGATAAAATAGGACATGAAAGTTTGTATGAAACTTTGTCAGTTTAAACCGATCGGGCTGAGACTTTGAGATAAATTAAGGCGAGCGAAGCCGCGGGCAAAAGCTAGTATAAATATATTTTTTTTTATATTAGCTTTTAGCTTTTATATATATATACATATATTATATTTGTTTGGAATTAATATTATCAATTGGTACCATAGGCATATATGTATACGATATCTCAATATATGTCTAGTGAATTACATATATTTCTGCGTTTTCTAATTCAACAATACTCGTTTCTTTTGTTTCAGATAAAAAGTGTGGAGTGGAAGCGAGTACAAATCTTATCCACCGTAATCCATGGCTGGTATTCGTGGAGTTCCAGCGTAAGGACAGCATCATCGACATCCGCTGTGCTGGTACCTTGGTGGGCAAGAGGCATATAATCACAGCAGCTCATTGTGTTAAGAAACATAGATATAATAAGTACGTATCTAATTATTTTTAGGTAACTTAAACTTTTTATAGGAACTAGGAATGGTAAATCGTGGGAAATGATAGAAGAACCAACGATAAGAGCGCATATCTTAAGTTATGAATAAATAAATGCAATACTTTCAGAGGAGCTTCCTCCCGCGTACACTTAGGTTGTGGAATGAACTTCCTGCCGAGGATTTCTCACGAGACTACAGCATGGGATTTTTCAAGACACGTGACATCCCTGGTGTTTCAGGCGTCCATAGGCTACGTAACCATTTACCATCAGGTGGGCCGTATGCTTGTTTGCTACCACAGTAGTATAAAAAAATGGTAAACAAGTAGGTGACTTGATGGTAAACTAATTTGGATTTCAAAATGATAAATAAAGCGGCTTTTAAACTAATAACAAAAGTGCTAGAATGTGCGGACATGAGAATCCCAGTAACTGTTACATTATTTGACGACCTCGCTGATCTAGCGGTCTAGCACACCGCTTTACTTCCGATGGTCGCGGATTCGATTCCTCGTATGGCATAAACATTTTGTATTCATGAGTATGATTGTTTGTGTGGGTCTGGGTTTTTACTATACATATTATGTATTAAAAAAAATCTAAGCAATTATATCAGTTGTCTAGTATCCATAGGACAAGCTCTGCTTACTGTGGGACTAGATGGCGCTATGTCAATTGTCAAGTGATTTATTATTATTATTTGATATGAGAAAAGCCATCGCTTTTGTAGCTCATAAAACTTTATTAGGTAAGTCTGAAGAAGATGGTTTAAGTGGTCAAGCTCTAGTATGGTAACGGGAAAATAGATTAAAATATGCTGAAATCAACAAAATTAATAATGTTAAACATGAAATTACGTGTAAGTCACAAAACGAAATAAATCGAGTAGGTGTTCCCCAAGGAAGTATAATGGGACCATCATCTATATAAAGAACCTGCCTAATATAGATTCCCCCTTCAGCATTACAGACATGCCGTAATAATGTAACGCCACTGTATGTTAAATTTTATTTTTTAATCTATAGTACATAAAAAAATAAAGAAAAAGTGATGTCTCTTTTTTTAAAACAATTTACTTGGGGAAACACAGACGTACAGAAGGTATTATCCTGTTTGACGTCTTTGCGTGTTTGAGTAAATTATAGTGAGTGAAACAAATTAGCATTTTTAGGATTCCGAACGAAAATGGGTAAAACTGAACCGTTCTGTATCATATTTGTACGTTCATCACGTGACAGTGTTTAAAAAAATAGTAATATAATTGATTCGAAATTTGAAAATATCTTGGTATTCTTGTTTTTAACGAAACTCTAATAAAGCAATTAAAATAATTATTTTTCTTCTCATGTCTTTTTTCGAAACTATCAAATAGTAGGGTAGTAATCTGTGAAAAAGTATTTGTAAATTTTTTTTCAAATAATAATATATATATAGTTGTTTTTTTTTATATGTATGATGACGTGATACGTAATTTTTATATAATACTAGCTGCGACTTCGTCCACGGGGAATATAAAATTATTTTTCTAAAAAAAAAGTAGTCTATGTTACTCCTTATTACATCAGCTACCTGCCAATAAAAGTCCCGTCATAATCGGTCCAGCCATTTCAGAGATTAGCCGAAACAAACAGACAGACAAAAATTGTAAAAAATGTTGTTATGGTGTATGTATCGTGTTTATGTTCATATGAATGTAGTAAAAAATAGTTATTACAATATTACAAACAGACACTCCAATTTTATTTATATGTATAGATAAATACCATTAATAATAAGAATAAATAATCCAAATCATATCAATCAATCATAGTGACATTTGACTATAATGTTGGAACTAAATAAAATCTGTTCAAACAAGAAACTATATTATACATCCATTCACACTTGATTATTAAGAATTACAGTGTTCTATAGTGTCAGTGTATTTATGTTTTTATTGCTCGTCATGTCTTGGGCTCGTTTCATTTCGGTACACTGGAACTGTTATTATGTCCATAGATCATTATCCTCGATGATGTAGCAGTTTATTACACTATATCACTTTCGCTGGCCAAGATTGCTAGAAGGCATTGGATGTAAGCAGCGCAGGACCGATCGTCGTGGAGATCTTTGGGGGAGGCCTATGTCCAGCAGTGGACGTCTTCCGGGCTGCGATGATGATGATGATGATCACTTCGCTAGCACTCAGACTTTTGTAACACTAGATTTTTTTTAGAATACTGTTGACAGTAGATGGTTTATAGATTCACAGAACGATGTTCAAACATTTGTATTTACAGAGTATAAAAAAAATATATTTAATCATTTGTTTAGTACCTATAATACAAACTTAGATTAGCTTGGGATGAGATGGAACTGTGCGAATCTAAAACTACTTATATAATACTCAACGCTCCACGCTCTTCAATGAAATAAGTGTATTTTCTTTTCTTTTACCTTTCTTGTTTATTTTATTGTATCAATTTTTAATAATTTTCTATATATTACATGTTATATCTGTATTATTTTTGTTATTGTCTTAGGTTTTAATTATATTTACTACTAGCTGTTCCCGCGACTTCGTCCGCGTGGAATTTAATTTTATTTTTCTAATATAAAAGATATTTTCTAAAATAAAAGTAGCCTAAGTTCGTTACTACATCAGCTACCTTCTAAAAAAAGTCCCGTTAAAATCGGTCCAGCCATTTCATAGATTAGCCGGAACAAACAGACCGACAGACAGACAGACAAAAATTGTAAAATGTAGTTTTTTGGTGTATGTACAGTATTTATAATATGCATGTAGTAAAAAACGGCTATTTCAATATTACAAACAGACACTACAATTTTATTTATATGTATAGATTAATGATATTGTAATAAGGCTGGGTCGATGTGGCGGTCTTGTTACGTATGTCCTCGCGTATGTCCCTTGGCAATATTTGAAAATCAGTGGTTTGCTGCTTGTTGCAAATAATACACTGAGATGTAGCCTTTTTTTGCGTATGCGATGTTACTCACATGTATTTAGTACCTATATTGTATTTTGTTAAACGATGCAATTGTGTATCTGCTTTTATATATTACTGTGCCTTGTGTGTGTGTGCATTTAATGCAGATAAGTTTTATCTATCTATCGACTTAGATGAACTCATTAGCTTATTGAAAGTAAAATGTCATTAATTTTTTGTGAACAGATTAATAGCGCGCTTGGGTGAATATGACACATCGAAACGAAAAGACTGTCTGCTGGGTGTTTGCGCTGATCCTGTGGTGAGGATCGAAGTGGAAACTGTCATCATCCATGATGGATACAATGGCAATGGGTATGGCAATGATATTGCCATCCTCGTGTTAAAGACTGCAGCTCCATATACCGGTAACTATGTCTGCAATAATAATAAATGAAATGGTTTAGCAGTTTAGCATACTGCCTTACTGCCGATGGTGCGGATTAAATTCGATTCCTCGCATGTTATAAGCATTTTTAGTCATAGACATACATTGTATGTAAATATATATATATATATATATATATTTATTGAACAAATTTAACACCCAATATTCTAAAACAAACAATGATACAGCAGCGTTATGAATACATATGTTTGTAAACATGCAAATAATATTAAACAACAAACAATCAATAGCGGTTTAAGCACTTATTAAAAGTCTGATGAAACAATTCAATTGTGGTCAAATTAATACAATCTTTTCTACAAATTCTTTTAAATTCTACAAACAAAAAAACACACAGCTTTAATTTCTCTAACTTTTAACTTAACATACGTTAAACTCATATATAAACTGTGTAATATGTAAAAGTTTATATATGAGTTTAACATACATTAAACTCATATATAAACTGTGTGTTTTTTTTCTTTTTATGTATAATTAGAATGGAAAACCAGCTAAGTATTAGACAAGCCGTCTACCTGATGGTAAGCGACTCATAAAAAATCAGCACTACATATAGTACAGGAGAACAATCTAGAACATACTGGAAGCCGTTTATGAAATCCGGCTCGAAGGACCAATAATGTAGGGTCCTAAACTAAGGTCTTTTAAACTAAAAAGTTGATTTATGGCAAATCAACCTTTTAATTTAAAAGGCCCCAGAGAATGAGAGAATATTGGGCCCCGTCCAATTTATGGACTGTAAATTCGTGTAATAATTTAAATATAAAAAATACAGAGAATGAGAGAATATTGGGCGCCCGTGTGTTCGGTGCTGAGATCAGAAGTGAGGTGCTAGTCGCACCCCCCTCGAGCCGCGCCCCGCAACGTTGCTCGCGGACTCCAGTCCGGCGAGCGAACGATGTCCGAACATCACTCGTGATACTACTCTTGCGTTTCCATTCCAGTAGACTAAGAAGTCACTCTTATCCTGAAATTTTAATACACTTACTTACCTTACAACCAAAACACTATTGTTTAGTTATAAAAACCTTAATATGCAATTTTTAAGTTGTTAGTATTAATTTATGTTTGTATTGTCCTAGATTTTATTCGCCCAGCATGCTTACCCAACGGTCCAGTTGACGAAACTGTACTCCTCTTTGCCGCTGGATGGGGGGAGTTGACCACTTCCTCCCATTACAGTGATGTGAAGAAAATCATCCCCCTCCCTTTATGGTCTCCCGCCGAGTGCAGAGCCGTATATCCTCACACAAATTTACCTGAGGACATCATCTGTGCGGGGGGTGAAAAAAATATGGATACATGTCGAGGGGATTCTGGAGGTCCATTGATATGGATTCGCGAACGAGCCGAGCTACGCGGAGTTACCAGCACTGGTTACATCCATTGCGGAACTGAAAATGCCCCTGGTCTATATACCAGCGTTGAATATCACCTGCCATGGATAGAAGCAACTATATATGGCTATTAAGTTATAGTCAGGGTTGCCACGCCCAAATTAAAAAAATAAAGATTTTAAGTTCATAAATCCAGGACTATTCAGTTTAAAAACAGAACGCAGTAATAGTGTTATGCAGTAATAGTTAATATGTAGTAAAATACAAGTAATTAATATAATTAGGTTTTTAATAAAAAGTATTTGATAAAATTATCCTGTTGAGAATCAGGCATATTTTAAACCTGCTGGGTTTGCGTTGCGTTGCTAAATTACTATTCAGGACTTCCCAAGACACATCAAAAAATAGGACATGTTCTGAGAAAAGAGGACGGTTGGCAACCCTATTATAGGTAGCTAAGTAATTAGGGCCTGCATAGACGAGATCTTTTAAAATTTATGCAGACAGTATATTAAAGGTAGAGTATGTACTTAAATTTGATTGCAGTCCAACAAAATCCTTTATATTCCCATTATTTCCGGAAACAAGAGTCATAATAGTCCAGCTATAATACTCGTGAGACTCCTGTTTGTGGATGATGGGAGTGTGAAGGAGAAGGAAAACGACCTCTCTTTTTCATTACTAGTACGCAGCGAATCACTTTTGAAAAGCTGTATTAAATTTTGTTTACTCTATCTTCAACAGTGCTCACAATTTTAATATATTGTCCCTTTCCCAAATGTATGACAGAAAACCACAAAGAATGAACAAATACCTGTATTAATTGACTTTGTATTTTTTTAATAATCCTTCTGTATTTCTTAAAATAACTCAAAGGTCATTCGGGTTTTAACTCCATTTATATTTATTAAAATAAGGTATTACACTTTATTTTAAATTCCAAATTCTATATTCTATCTTCTTCCTTTTGCAATTTACATATCATATTTTTATTTATACTTTTGCATACAAAAGAAAAAACATTTTTGTAGCGGACTTAATGCCCGATGATACTCTCTACCAATCAACCATAGAATTGGCATACAATAAATATATAGATTTTGAAATTACAGTAAAATTACAACAAATGAAATGTATTCTAATGAATATAAAGTCGACTAATATAGGTATTAATTTCTTCAATTCTCGTTATGTAGCCCACTAATATAGGTATAAACCCGCAAGGGCACTAAAATAAGGTTGTAAATATTTATAAATAGTTCGGCATTCAATCAATCAACGGCTCAATTAGATATTGAATGACGGAACTGCATTTATTTACGAATATGTATTATAATAACGAAGAGGAATATAAAGTACAAAATGTATATAAAAAATTAAGCATAATAATAAAAGTATATAATAATTACAAAAAAAATAGCCACTAACAGTGTTCATACTGCTAAGTGTCGAATATACCACTTTGTCCAAAGTGGCATACAGTCAGTCAAATTCTATCAAAAAGTATAAATCACTTAGGTTTTAATACTTTGAAATCATCCATTCAGGAAATATAACACATTTCTTTAAACCAATCAGGAACAAGGTGACCAAATTCCGAAGTTTAATTTAAAATAATTTTTCAAATAATTCACAGCATGTAACAACCTTTTAATGGCCTGCACATGGCACTCGACCCATGGGCTATATCGGAACAATGGTGGTGAGAACCCTGGATAAATTCCTAGATCATCTCATCTGTATTATACATATAATCATAATACAGATGAGATGATGTCCAGATGGGATGATTTCTCATAACCCACCGAGCCTATTTATGCCCACCACATTTGCTCCAATATTACCTCTATTTTTAGTGTCCTACGTAGGCCAAATTACAGATATTTTTTGCTCAACTGTTAACCAATGACTTAATAAGACTTGTCCGACTTAATTGACTGTATTAAATTTGTTTTATTTATTATAATATGCAAAATAGACTAAAAAGTATAGAATGCTTTTTAGTCTATTTTGCAACAGTACAAGTTATTTTCACAATACTATATTAGTTTATAATTACTCATATTAAATTTCCGTCTTTGTAACATTCCTCGCTCGTTGTTGTAAATATTGCTCATAGTTTAGAATTAATTCGTTTATTTGAATTAATTCTATAATAAATATAATATTACTATATAGTTTACGGTATATTTTAGTGTAAAATGAGAAAACTGTAAAGAGTGTAATAAGGTCAAAATAATTAAAAGTAGGCGTTTTGACTCATTATAAAAATCTCTTTTATACATATATAATATTGTAAAAACAAAAAAGACTGTATTAGGCTATTGCCTATCATTATTTTGTATTCAAAATTTAGATAATATCAATAACAATGATACAAACATATAATTTCAATAAAATCCGGTAGACGTATGTAGGGATGATCGTTATAAAAAAATCGATATATCGATCTAGAAGTATCGCACTATTATAAATATCGATGTCAGAAAAGATGACAAATCGTATCTGACTCAACCGATCTGATTTCCTGTCATTTTGCATTGTGGTGTTTCCGAACCGGTACGATTGCGAAACATTCAAGAAAACAGCTTATTCCTGTTTAAATGGCCGGCAATTCACTTGATGTGTTGTGTTCATGGGCGGTAGTAATCATTTACCATTAAAGTACGCCGCTCATTTGTCACCTATGCTATAAAAAAGACCATTTTCTATGTCATATCTGATATTATGTCAATTTCTGTTTCCAATTACCAATTTTTTTGATAATCAAATTCCGAATTCCATCTAATTTCATGTAATATTTCTTATCTTTTTGTGACAATATTATCGATAACTTAAACCATGACAAAGTTATCGAAATTTGTCATCGATATTTATCAACTGAGAATCGTAGACAAAACATCCCTATACATGTGTATACTTTTGTTTACAATAAATCTGAATTCCATGACCTTAAATATTTTCTTATCTTGTTTGAAATACAAATCGAATAATATACTTTTTGGAAACTTCTCATAAACATTAAACAAGTATTAACAATTATTTATTTCAATGTATGGCAAAATGATGTTTTAAATTTAGAATGTTGATTCCTATGATGTCCTATGTAGTAGTATTAAATTTATATAATTTAATTTAATAAAAAAAATTAATAATACGAAAAATTGTTGTGCGTATATTGTAGGAGAATACCAGATTCAGTGGTTTCCAAATGCATGTAAATATATTTATTCTTTAATTTATTTTTTAATCTTAAAAAACCGTTATAAATTTAAGATAAAGATATTAATATCAAAAACCGTCTAAAGCTACCCAGTGGTTTCAGTAGTATCATTCAATTATAATGAACTGAAGGCTACATTTGGAGAAAGTAATTTTATTGTATACAGAAACAATAGAAAAAAAATGATTTTAATATATTTTTCTGTCATTTTTAGTATTACTTTGATGTAAGAAATAACCATGTTTGAAATTATTCATCTGGGGACTGACTATGTAATGATTTTACAATTTTCGAACTAACTGTAATTTACAGTTCTAAAACTGTCTGTAATTGATCTACATTAATAAAGTTATTTTGATTAATTTTGAATTGAAAAATTACTAAACATTTGACAGTTGTTATTGCAAAACGTGCAACATGGTTTGTAACTGCAACTGTCAAATATCTCATACATAATCGCAATGAGTTGAATTTCTATATATTCGTTACATAACTCTGTCCCTGGTAAAAAATACATAATGGTGATCTCTAGTTAGTCATAGTCATTTAAAGCATAATTTACCAAAAATTTACTTTAAACAGTATCAAATGTTGGTTCATTTTAACTTATTTAATACAAATAGCATTACATGCTATTTACAAACTATAATATTTTTTATTTATATGTGTTTGGATTTTATTTATTTTTATGTATGAAATGGTTCAATGAAGGCTAAAATTTAATTTAATTTATTTTGTTTTGATCTGTAAATATTGATGCGGTTTATCTTATTCTATTTTTTAATATGTAATAGTATAGTGAGAATAAATAGGTCTTACCCATTTATGAATATTGTCCTTTGCTGTCACGTATTTATATTTAAAAAAAAACAGTCGAGGACTTTTTCTGGCAGGTTAAATTTTGACTAATTCTCAAGTCAAATATATCTCTTATATGGCGGCAGTCACCCTCTCTCTCTTCTTAGTTTAATTGAAACAATCTTAGTAAATCGCATTTTTATATTCCATTTATTGTATTACTTTTTTTTTTTACTATATATGTTTACAATAAATAATAAAGAATTGTGCCATACGGAATGAAAATTTCTCCACATAGTTGATAGTTACCAATGGCTCTGGCTACCTTATATGAGATTACAGTTGTAATATTTGTTGTGTTATATATATTACAAATCCTGTCAAATTGTAACGACTATCAATTTTCACTATAATATATATATTCTTACAAGAAAAAAAAGTATCTTTTTGTATTAATGATTTTATTTCCAATAATTTATATGATGCTGTCAGCGTCATGATTCTTGTGTTGTGAAGTGTGATGATTGATGACTGATGTTATTCTATTCTATTTTATTGAAAATCTATGATGGCCTCGGTGGTATAGTTTTACTTACGATGCTCCCGTTCCTTGCAGGGCACAAATTTGTAATATATATTTGTTTGTATCGGTCTGGGTATTTTCTATGTATTTACGAAAAAATATATATCTATGTATTTGTATCAGTTATCTAGTACCCATAATACAAGTTTTAGCTAGCTTAATTTGGGTCTAGTGCGCTGTGTGGATTGTCTTGAGATTATTATTATTATTTTATTGAACCATATACTATTTTAGCTATAAATATGACGGATTCTAAAACTGGATATAAAATAAAATAATATAAAATAACAAAAAGTAATATTTTTATTATATTATGGACTTGATACAGCCCACCGCAAATTAATTATTGTATTGTATTATTATAAAGTATTTTTCGTACAGTGAATACTACACCATTTTTTTGTTACGATAATTTAAAATATATCAATTACGATACTTCCAAATTGTTAACTGTGAAAGTTGAAGTTTCTTATTTAAATTATTGTCAGATAAAATAACTTTATACATATTATAATAATTAAAATAACATGTTTTAATTTTCTTAAACATTAAGAAATTAATTTAAATTCTGTATTGAATATAGCTTTATATTAAATTTTTACTCTTAACCTTTTTTTCTAGGATTTTTATAGCACAGACTAGAAAAGACGGGAACCGGAATGTTTCTATGTTTATATACTTGCTCTGTAATCTACGTATTGTATTATGTAAAAAATTACTTGAATGTCTCAAAATATTTGATTAATTATAGGTTAGAAATATTTTTTTTTTCCTAAAAAAAACATGAAGTTTTTTATAGATTAATATATCTGGTTGCTAATTTTATTTTATTATAAATTAAGTTTGAAAATAATGTTATTTTTTCATTATTTATCTATTTACCTAAGTATTCATTAATAGTATTTATTAATTTAACGCCCTCGGTGGATACTGCTTTAATTTCGATGGTCGCAGGTTCGATTCCTGGCTTGCTACAAACTTTTGTATTAATGAGTATGATTGTTGTATAAACCTGAATGTTTTCTATGTATGTATTTACAAAAAAAATATAAACTACGTATTTATATCAGTTGTCTAGTACCCATAACACAAATTTTGCTTAGCATGGGACTAGATGGCGCTATGTGAATTGTAATCAAAGATAATAATAATAATGATATCCCTCCTGGGATATCATTATTATTATTATCTTTGATTTAAAACTGTACTTAAACATGTTATTTTTAAATACAGTATCTGTTTATGTTTATATTTTTTTAAGAATCCTATACGATTATATAGAAAGTACTCTTGAAACTTAAAATTGATTTGTAAACATATTTTGTAAACGTAAATACAGCACTAAGAATTTTAAATATACATATTAATTGTTGGCAAAAATAAAAGATTATACTTTATCTAACATTTATTTTATTTTATTCCTAAATAGAGCAACAATTGTTAAGATGAGTAGTCAGTCTTTTTTTAGATATATTTTAGCAGCTTCGTTTCACAAAATATCCATACATCTTCATACAACGACATTTCGATTTCATGTTTCACACAAAAACGTTATACACAACTAGTACATTTGGCTAATATAATGAAGTACTTATTTACAACTAGAATAAACAATTTCATATACAATAATAAAAATTGTAAAAAAACAATATTACAATAGTTATAAGTGTACAACAAAACAAGCTGTTCTTTATTTAATTATAATAAATATATAAATTTTAATGAATATTTTTGTTCTACATAAATTTATATTTTAATATTTATTTATCGACTAGCTTCTGCCCGTGACTTCGTCCACGCTATCACGATTGAATGAGATAAGTAGCTTACAGCATTCTCCTTTTTAATACTCCTTTCCATTACACCACATTGTGGAAGTATTTAACACCAAATTTCCTGATATACATATATTTGATTTTTCATACTTTAAATTTAATAAAATCCTATTAGAGATATTAGTTAGAAATCAGTAAATAGTTAATAAATCTATATAATTATAAGAGTAACATAACACAAGTATTAACTGGTGGTTATCTGTATTGATTTATATTTATGTACTTAAATATTTACAACATTATAAAACTGATTATATACCAAATAATATGCTATAACCCAAAATACAAAGGGGGAAGGGAATTATTAGTAATGGGATCTGGTGTCCCCATTGCTAGCAAGTTCCCCCTGGAAACCATCGTGGTTAATTCCTGGTTATTTAATCACGATGGGCAAACCGATCTGAGCTCATGCTCATCTTATCCTCCACTGGTGCCCCGCCAGCGTAAACCGTTGGCGCAGGCGGGTGCACCATTCCATTTATCATCCATAAAAAACCCATATTAAATAATATTTTTTTCAGCCGTTATGCCGAAATTATGTAATAAATAAATAAATAAGTGAAGTCACTATTACACCGTAAACTGAACTAGAAATCATTATAATTCTAATGAAACACATACGGCAATAAATTATATAATAAATACATACTAATCTATATACATATATGTAGGTCGTATCATGTCTATGGAGCGTGATATAGTATGAGTAATTGTAATTATTAAAAATAGACACATTGTTTATTTTTAAACCAGTTAGATTTATGACTAGGTACCATTACGTTATCAAGTTTGAACCTTTTGTTGACTTGCTTATAAAACAATAATTATTTTAGATTTTTAAACTACATACTATATATGGCAAACAAGCTGATAGGTAGGTGGGTCACCTGATGGTAAGTGGTGTTCGTCATATAGATGAACTGTATTACTGTTACATGGACATTACGTTATCACGTGGCGCTTAGTTGTCATCTTCCTGTAATTTTACGAACATATCTGACCTTCAAACGGCTAACTGATTAGCAGCAGAAATCGCCAAGACACGGTACCTACTTCCTCCTTCGATCGATCAATTCAAACACGTCCCCCCAAACAGGAGGTCCCCAAACAGGATCCCCCGTCCAATTCAAACAAGGATCGAAATTAGGACGGTCTAAACCTAGGTTCAAACCCGGTTTAGTCTAAGGGCACGCCCCGTGCCGTCAGACTAAAGTCGTATGCGTCAGGCAGGAGTTAGCCTTCAGTCGCTCCATAAGTCCTTCCTTTGGTTTGGAGTGCTCCTTATCGTACGGCGAAGCTGTAAAGGCCCGCTGCGACTAACAGCATTACATTAGTACGAAAAAAAGCAAGGATCCTTTGCTTTTTTTCGTATATATGTATATACAAATTTAGTAAAAAATACATACTGTCTATCTTTACGTCATCTCATTTGTAGAATAGACAGAGAACCAAGTATATGTCTATATAGTAACAAGGATACTCAAGGATCAAGAAGCCCATATCTCCAATAGAAATGAGACGACCTGCATTTGAAATTATACAACAAGATAGCAAAATTTATAATAAAACAACTGTTTAAAAATAGCACAAACATTCATTCTACAAATTATATATATATAGATAAAGGATCAACCAAGCCGAAAGATAATGGTTATGGAACTCGAATAACTTCCGCAAAGAGCAACATGGAATTTGGTAAGTCATTTTTCATAAGTTCAAAAAATTACTTTCAAACCAAATCAAATTAATTAAAAATATCTGTGTTACAGACAATTATAATATTTTAATGGGTTTATATTATTAAGCTATTGTGTGGCTTTGAGCGCGGCGACCGAATCAAGAAATTCCGTAACAAAAATAAACCAGATTATGACAATGTCTGTACATTGTCATAGTCAGGTTTATTTTTACCACAAATATTCCGTGCGGTAGTACCAAACTAAGTAGAGCTTGTATTGTAGGTACTAGACAACTAGATTCTTTTTGTAAATACATAAATTGTAGCTGTGACGGGGTCGAGTGGAATGAGTCATGCTCACTAAAATGTCCAGACATGTGGCGGCGTGGTGGGCCGGGTCATTGGGCTCCCTAAAATATGGTCGAGCGCAGTGATGACTGGCTCATCCGTCATACTCGTGAACGAGTGCTGCTTGTAGGGACTGGTCTGCTTACTTATCACTACGACTGATTTAATCTTATTGTGTTTTTATATTTGAGCCTAAATAAATTAGTGCTGGTTGGTAGTTTGTATTCACTCGTTTCGACTTATAAAATGTGAACTTACAAAGATTGTTTAAAAGAGCAACACACAAGTTTCTTGCTTATTCTTCTTGTGATGAGACAGCTTTCCGAAAAAATGTTGACTATTCAAAAGTGCTTAAATTAAGTATATTTGAATAAATGATTTTCTATTCTAATATGCATTAAATTGGATTGCGAATTTGTTTACGAATGTACTTAATGGATTTATATTATTTTGTTTAATTCCGCTACCATAGCATGTTTGAGACTGCAAATATTCAGTGCGGAAACCTGACCACCGCCACTAAAAGCGTACCTTATCTGTCAATGATCAAAATCCGTCTGTAAATGAATCTACATCCATATTGCGACAAGTGTTTTGCCTCTGAATGAGGCAACATTTGCCTAATGATACCTCATTCCGAGGCAAAACATTAATAGAGGTCGGAAATCCCAGCATCCCAAACCCAGTGTTGACTATTTAGCAACTAAACTACAACTGTGAAATATATCGTCAATTTTGTAAGTAGTTTGAGCCTCGAATGACAGAAGAAAAAGAAATCAAATATTGTATAACAAACACTTCCTTTGAAAATAGCATATTATAAAATTGAAGAGTTTGTAAATGATAATATTGTTTTAGTAGAAAAATCATAAAATTCATTGCGCTGACAATACTATATGATTGTACTAAGAAACCGCTACGCACTCAGCGTAGCGGTTTCTATGTTGATTATCGCATGCCTCTTGTTATTTTGTAACAGGTTTACTTTCGATGATCGCGGGTTTGATTCCTCGCTCGGTACAAATATTTGTATTCATGAATATGATTGTATCGATCTGGGTGTTTTCTATGTTATTATAGTATTTCCAAAAAATATATTCTAATCTAAGGATTTATATCAGTTGTCTAGTATCCATAACACAAGCTCTACTTACCTTGGGTCCAGTTGGCGTTGTGTAAATTATCCAGGAGAATTATTATTATTATTAATATGAATGGAGTGAACAAAGCATAAGCTATTTAATAAATCTAATGTTATTATTAAATTAGTTAACATTAAATATTATAATTAAACCAGTTGACGTGGCATTGTTATTTCGACTTTGTTACTTGGGAATGGTGTTTATTTTGGTTTATTGAGTATTTCATATTTATTATCTTTCGACTTGCTGTACTTTGCAAGTAACCCTGAATAATAACAATATATAGATATACATAAATACTTAGAATAACTTGGCAATATCGATTTATAAGACCAGAATTTAAACTCTACGAAATTTTACCATTTATTTGTATAAGGGCACCCAATATTTATGTAAAAGATACAATACATGGTCCGAGAAACCTAACAATTTTTAACTTAAAAACACAGTACCTATGTCCTTATTTAGTTACCTATGATGAGGTGTTCTGCATGACTCTGAAAATAAATAAATATATTAGTCTCTTTTTAGGCTACCTATTATAAGTATTTTTTAAATTATACTCTGTTATTTGTTGGCGATGGACTCCTAAACTACTGAACCGATTGCAAATTTGATTTGCACATTATGTGCAATTTTATCGAACTTGAAAGATAGAATGGCTTACATCTCAATTTATAGTCGCAATATTATTTTATTCAAGAACCTTAGTCACAGCAACGTGTGGCCGGGTTTGCTAGTTAAATATATACATATATAATAAATTACTCAAGAGTCCCATCATACAGTATCTTAATGTAACTCCAAAGGTTTATATAGTGTTCATTAAGAGAACTTAAAATCTAAGAATTATCTTGACGTTTTTTTTTCTGTTGGCAAATGGTTACCATAGCCTATGGACGCCTGAAACACCAGGGATGTCACGTGCGCGTTACCGACCCTTATGAAACCATTATATACCCTTATTGAAAAACCCCATGCTGTAGTTTCGTGAGAAAACCTCGGCAGGTAGTTGTGTACGCGAGAGGAATCTCCTTTATAACCGCACTGTCCGAGACCACTTAGGTTCTAGCGTGTGGGGATGAATCTCCTGTCGATGGCGAGCGGTGCGATGGTAAAAAGTAGCCGTAGGCATTATGTCGAACAATTCCTCAGACCACAGTATCTCGATTTACTTCCTTTTTAAAACTATCTCGAAGCTTATCTCTATATTTCGCTAAATTTACATGAGATATTCTTGTGTATATATACTATATATATAGACTTTAAACTGTCATCAAAATATGTTAAATAGTTTTTGCGTGAAAGTGTTCCTTACATCCTGTTACAATATATGTACTTCCTACATCCATCCACTCAAACAAACATACACGTGTACTATATTAGTAGGAAATACTTACTTCGTGGCACACTTTTTAATGTAGATTTTGATATACTGTCACTATCTTCAGATTCGGAGCACACCTGAAAACTCGTTTCTGAAACAAAAATATTAGTGAATAGTTTTTTTATATATGTATGTAGATTTGACCAGTCAAAAGTGAACTTGGAATAAAACCGAAGTCATAAAACTATGCTCAAAGCAAATTTAAACATATAATAAAAATGTAATTGATGGCAATATCATCATCACTAACGAGTCAGATATTAATGTTAGCAGACCGTTATTAGTATTTAATTGATAACAAATTTATATGATTAAGGAATTGTACATAGTGATTATTTGCTTACTGACATCACTCAATACAGTGTTTATGCTTTAGCTGTATGAGGACGACACCTGCGCTTTTTACTTACTGTCATCAAATAAAATTCATTCTGTAGTACTGCCTCATTTTATTGTACTCGAAAGTTACTCAAAATCTTACTCACTTAGTGTTTTAATGTCCCAAACTAATAATTAGATTTTCTTAAAAATAAAATCCAATATTTTAAAAATAGAACATCGGTATTGTTTTGTTTTTTTGTATAAATTCTCTCGTACATTCCACGACTATCCGATTGTGCATTTGATCCATTTCCAATAATGACATCAAGTGTGCAGAAGTAGTTAATATTATTACAACATGCAAAATTCCTCTAGTAAGCACAATATTAACCGTGATTAATTCCTGGTGCATTAGCCATCTAAACGTATATATTTACTATGAAAATATTTAATATCTTGAGCTCATATTATATATAATACTATCATTGTAAATATTAGGTTTATACCGTGTGCTTTTGTAGATATATTCAGAGTAATAAACAATTATGTAGCAAATCATTTTGAGATCAACACGCATTACGGTTGTTTACAACTTGTGCCTTAAAAACTCTAACGGATTCTTTTTGAGTGGTAAACGACGGAGGACAAAGGTCGACCTTCGAAGAAATTTTGGTCTCGATCAGTCAAGCCGTTTCGGAGGAGTATCGTCACAAAGAATGCAATTCTGATCTCTAAGATCACTTCACCCTTTGCGCTCCTCTCAATTGAATTAGCAAGTATAATTGTATATATCTGCACACAGTTACATATAAGTAGCTATACTAAAATAATTAGATACCAATTTGCTACTATAAAATATTAACTAAAAGTAACCTAATGTTATTTCTATGAAATGTATTTTCCATGGCACAAAATATTTAATGGACTACCTATAGATTTAATAGAATTGACAGGACAACATTTTAAAAACAAATTCACTAAATGGCTGTTAGTGCACTGTATCTACTCTATAGATGATTATTTAAATTATAAATAATAATAATAATCTCAGGACAATTCACACAGCGCCATCTAGCCCCAGGTTAGGCTAGCTAAAGCTTGTGTTATGGGTACTAGACAACTGATACATATACATAGATAATTTTTTTTTCGTAAATACATACATATTAAACATAGAAAATACCCAGACCGGTACAAACAATCATACTCATGAATACAAATGTTTGTGCCGTGCGAGGAATCGAACCTGGGACCATCGTATGTAAAGCGGTGTGCTAGACCACTAGACCACCGAGGTCGTCAATACTATGAATAAAAATGTAATGTAATGTAATAATAAGAATACTAATTGTAACAATGATAATAATAATAATTCTAAAATATTCTATAATAATCGTTACATATTAAATTAGAATATAATTGTTATAACATATGTAATTTTTAGGCTTAGTAATAAAAAAATGCATGCCTACTGTAAAAAGGCATATTTCAGCGCTGTCTGCTGATATCATCACTGTGGCTTAATTGTTTACTTATCTGTAATGCAACATAATATTGCAGCCGAAGCTACAGTCCTTGTTTTCAGGCCACATATGTATTTATATGTAGAATGTGTACATAACGAAATAATGAAACCTAAGAACACCCAAAAATAAATAAAATACATACCCCTAGTAAGTAGTTTGTAGGTTAAAGAAAAATGTTAGGTAAGATCACAGATGTAAAATAAAACGTGGAAAATAAGATAGTACAAAGCCTGGAAGTTCATATCATATCATATATATATATATATATATATATATATATATATATATATATAAGGATTGATGTGAGCATGGAAAAAAAGAATTAAAAAAGGAAGGCAGAAACACATCACAATTCACAAAATACCTACCACTATCAAATCTGTGCTTGCTGTGTCGACTAGGCATATCTTGGTTTTCAACATGGCCGAAAGTACGGAAGCCAACTGCGAATTGCGCGTACGGACTGATCTCGTAGAGTTCTGTAATAGATCATCTTGTAAAAAATTACATAACATAATAATATTACAATAATATCTGAGGTCAATTCACGCAGCGCCATCTAGTCCCAATTTAAGGAAAGCTTGTATTATATCAAAACAAATCAAAAATCATTTATGATGCAACTTTTGGAAAAAAGTTACGAGTATAAAAAATTTGACATTCATAAATGGCTAAAATGTCCTACAAGAACTTTATTAAAAATTTCTTTTGAATTTGAATTTGAATTCATGTAGGACATTTTAGCCGCCTATGAACGTCAAATGTTTATATTACAATAACCCTACCTACCAGTTATATTAACTAAATATTATCAATTTATTTACATAACCTAATTGTACAACTAAGAACCTAAAATTAAAAAGCTTAAAAAATATAATATAATGACTAAAATATATTATTAAAAGGGGTTCCTTTAGGCAACGTTCCGAAGATACTGGCAGCGTTCCCTCTTTGAATAGCTAGACTAATTCTTTGTCCGAGGTAGCTGCCAGCTCTTCGGTCTTCTGTGATGTCGACTAACCTTTTCGTTATTTCTTTGAAAAGTCTTATAGCGCTAGGACCCCACGAACCAAGGGTCTCGACACTGAACCGACACCTACTAGTTCAGTATACAGATTCAATTAAAAAAGAACTGTTAAGAAACTCGATTGATTTCTTTTCTTAAAAATAGCCAGTCATTTACATTGTCTACTTATGTATGTGTTTATGTTTAACATTAAGTGAAAATCCGTGCGTAAACATTCACATTTGACATTCAAGTAATCATTTAGTGTGTATATAGGCTTTGCTCAATAAATATGATTTAACAAATGTATTAACTTTTATTTAAAGGTAATTCCCATATAAGACCCACTGACTTTTCTAAATGATAGTAACAGCAAGTTTGTTTTTAAATCTAGTGATAATATTATTCAAATTCAAATTGAAAATATCTTTATTTATGTAGGTCTATTATAGACTCCTATGATATGTCAAATCTACTGAAGTCTAAGTCAGTTCGAAATGATTTCGAGATGAGGAGACCTGACAAGATACTCAGCTCATTCTTTTAAAATTTTTTCCTTAACTTTATTCAATATTACATATATGTAATATTCAATATTACATATATATCAGTTTATAAACATCATACTCAACATCGTATATACTTTATACTAAATGTACGAAACTTACATCATAAAATTAATTTTTGTCTGTCCGTTTCTTCAAAGTTAAAGTTATGCAAAAATATGTGTGATGGAATTGTTCTCCTTTAAAAGCTTTAAAAGTTCTAACAAAAAGTCTACGATAACACATGTCTCTCTTTTAAGTTTAACTCACTGTAACCATTTTTATGTTAATCAAATTTCTTCTAAAATAATCCACTATTTCTAAAGGTGTTTTTATAAACATGATATTAATCATTATCCTAATAAATACATTATTTATTTATAGAGAAATAAAAAATCGACTACAAAGTTATAAAATGCAGTTTATGAATAGTGTGATATATTTTTAATGCTTGGCAACGAAAGTGTGGCATATGGGTAGGCGTCGAGACATACTGTCTACATGTTACTATAACAATACCTTGTTAGAATATATACAATGTGAATCAGTTTTTCAGAATCGTATGAAGGAATGTGATGCGTCACATTGCGTTTGGATATAATGATGATGTAATAAGTAATAGACATACATAAATAAATAACCCTTATATAATATTGTATTAACGTTTTCTATTATTATTATTGTATTATTATTTATATATTTTAGTAAGTGCATGTATATATTTTTTTTAAAGTAAACATTAGAATATTGTTATTACAAAAATTCGAGCGCTATCGTTGCCTGCTAACTGTCATAGCGTTAGGTTGGCTGGAAGAGATCTTGCAGAGATAACCCACCCACCCTTGCTAACATTTTTGTATAATTATCTTTATCCAAAAGCATTAGTGTAGTCCTAAAAAAGATACACTTCTTCGATGTGCCGCGTTGGTTTACAATGATTGTTTTTTGTTTGTGTGGATAGATGTAATTGTATACAAATCGAAAAGTATAAATAAAAAAAAAGTATTGAATTAGAAATGTAGCAGTTGTATTTCTTGCCAGTTCTTTTTAATTGAAGTAGTTAGCTGAACTGGTAAGGATAGTGCCAAAAATATGACGTGCACAAGAAGACGAAGGGTCCTAGGTGAATGAATGATGAGTTTATTTAAGAGTTTTATTAATAAGTTAATTAATAACTTTGGATAACTTATTCAGAGTTTTCTATTATTTTTTTACTTCTATTATGAGTACTCCGATATGGATACTATATCAGATATGCTTCCACAAGGAAACAGTTGTTAATACGGAGTTAAGAGATTGTTATTAAAAAACAAGTCCTTAAAGAAGTGAGGTGTAAAGTCACAGATATATTGGGGAAAGGCGATCATTAGTAATGTGAACAAATAACTCTATTGCTAGCAATGAACTATGTCAGGTTGACGCTGTTCCTTCTGAACTATCTTGATAAATTCCTGGTAAAGCCACGATGGGCTCATTGACCTAATCTCTCATTCATATTAACATCTTCCACTGATGCTCTGCCAGCGTAAGTCCACGATTCCTTATTATCCATTGAACAAAAACATTTGTTAATAGAGATGAATCCATCACCATGGTCTAACAGACTTGACTTCATGCTCATCTATATCATGATTCACTGGTTCCCTGCATATTACATGTGGTTGGCATCGGTTCTCAATAGTGCTTAACAAAAATTTCTTAGAAATGTTTAGTTTATAAAATAAAATATTCTCATAATTGTCATGGTAAAAGACTTTTTCTAATAACTCTATTTTCAGAGCCTATACAATTATTTCCTCTTGTTGGAAACTGTTTTATAAACCTTTTTTATTATTTATGTGTTTTATAATATTATATTGCTTTTATATGACATAAGTCATTATTACACAATATTTTACGACTATACCGATGCTTTCTTTGCTCGACATCTTGGTCTCCATCCTTCACACCTCTTTCTAATATTAGTATAGATTGTCATTTATAAAAGAAAATAACTGTTATTTTAAGGATTAGTCAGATGAATTTACTAAATTGTTTACAGACATTTATCACATGTGAAAAGCTACGTACGCAAGTCGCACTTGCGTAAGCGCACTTGCGGATGCATATTGTTTATTGTTACAATACGCGTGTACAGTCTAACTTCCTTTTTGAGAACCGGGTATTTCAATAAATAACACTGGCCAACAGAACAAAACTGTTATTTCTTTCGATTCTTCTTCGTTTCTAATTCGAATTAACACGTTTGTTTGAATATAGCAACAATTTTTCTCTCACAGCCTTTGTTTTTGAGTTACAGCTAACTTCCCTCATTTACTATGTTCAACATAGATTTGCGTTATTTATTGGACGCTGAAATATATTTTGTTGTTTTTTTTTGATATGGCTTCGTCAACAAGATGTTGTGTAATTAATCCCGATTGTTTTTGTTATATTTGTGGTGAATACTGAATATGTATTTGTAAAAGATCGAAAACCTATATCGAACTATATTTTTTTGTCAAAATGATAAAACTGTGCATATAAAAAATTGAAGCTATTAGAAATCTTCCAGTATTCTATTCATACTCAGAGCCATAAAAATAGTTAATTACAGAAAAATAAATGAAGGAAACAAGACTTGTGTATAATTTAAAAGTCTAGCGTTGCCCGGAAAATATTTAAATTTACGAAGAAAAAATTTGAAAGATACGATTTGGTATAATAATCGAGTCCTACTCGTAAAGCGTGAAATTTTCTGACATCTTAAATTAACAGTCTCGGTGATCTAGCGGTTTAACATACCGCTTTAATTCCGATAGCTCCGGGTTCGATATCTTGCATGTTACAAAAATTTATATTCATGAGACTGTTTGCATTGGAATGGGTATTTTCTATGTATATTTCTATTTATTTACAAACAAAATACGTATTTATATCAGTTTAGGACTAGGTGACGTTCTGTAAATTGTACATGAGAAAAAATACGAGTAAAACTGTAAAACACGAATGTTTCTGACATCTTGAATTGTTCGTTGTTTCAAACCTACAATTTATACATAAGCAACTAAAAAAAGATTGGACATATTTATTATTTAATAGATATTTATAAAACTTTATAAGCATTATAAATTAATTTTAGTTGTTAAACGAAATAAGTTGTTTAACGACTTAATGAATGTCTATAAAAAGTACGCCACTTCTCTGACCCATTCAGAGAAGTGGCGTTCTTCGTGAGTTGATTTTGAAATGTGAAGGAAGTGGTTCGCAAAAATAAATTCAACACAACCAAAGGGGAAGTTCTTATCTTGAACACAAATAACTTACCGTATTTACTATTAATACGACTCAATGAATGTGTATAAAAAGAAAGCCACTTCTCTGAATAGGGGAGTTGATATATTAGGTCCTAATATATGAAATTGGCGTTTTGTAACGGAGTAACATAAAGTAGATTTTTTTCAAAATATAACAAATTTATTTAATCAAAGTATATACCATTTACGCACTTTTTTCATCTTATAAGTAGTTCATTGATCCCTGTACTAAAAAAAACATTCGGACGGAAGTCAATAAAATCTTTGAAGGCGCTTTGGACTGCACCATTCAAACCAAAAGTTATTCAAATCAATAGTTATATAAAAAAGTTATCCAATTTCGAAAAAAAAAGTTAGCTGGTCGAGCGTTACGTTGTAACCAAAAACGCACTGTGTTTTCTTTCGCGATACCACCGCCATACGCACCATTAATCCTTCCAGCCGTTTCTGCAGCACTGGTGCCACGGCGGAACTAGTACTCGTAAATAACGCGATATTTTAAATTTTCCATTTTGTAAACTGAGTGACACAAAGAAAAAATTAAAGATGGAAAATATATGGATTACGGTTTTCGAAAAACAAATGCATGAGTAAATAGCTGTATAAATTTGAAATTGGAATTCCTAACCAAAGAGGAGATATTTAAGATCAAAGTGGCCAGTACGACAAAACATCAATTTCATATGTAGGACCTAATATTAACTCGAACACAAAGAACTTACCGTGTTTACTATTATTTCTCATATGTATTGGTGCGCTGTATATTCTGTTCTGTGCGTTTACTGAATTATCTTTCATATTAGCCAAATTTGTGTGCGACGTGTTGGCAGTCAAATTACCACTCTCCGATTTATTGTCCACTGTCATTGAGTCCCTGTAGTCAGTGAAATTGCTTCTGAAAAAAAAAAAGAAACACAAATTGTTATGATTCGAATGGCAAGACATTTACATAAGCCATGATGGAAGAAGAGTGTTCTAAGTTTAACGTGTTTGTGTATCAGAATATATGTGCTATTGCTACTAAAATAGATTTCAATATCAAATGGATGCTGCGAAGGGGATTTCTGGGGATTAATCTCAATTCCTAACGAGTGAGGATTAATGGCTCATTTGCTGGCAATATATCAGGCCGGGCGCCACATGGTCCATGGTAAATTTCGAGTCAATTCACCATGGGCTAATTAGTCTTGACTTTATCTCATTCATCTCATCCTATCATTCCCTGTGGTGGTTCGCTGGTGTAATTCCGTTTGCACTGACGGGTGCACCATTCCATTGTAATTCATAAAAATTCATGTCCACATTCAGTTAGGTATATTTGAATCGAACAGTATAGGATGAAAGTCTAGTCTCTCGGTTAGATTAGGTTCGGTACTGATTTTTTTCATAAAAAGAAAGTTAATTAGGTATTTTAATTATACTTAATGTTTTTACGTGGCGTACGAAGTTCGAACTCATACTATTTGAGATGTAAGTCTGGACAATAAACAATAAAACTATCACGGTAGGCATATTCAATTTGACGATAACCGTAAAACGGGTCAATGTCAATAGCCAAATGATTTGCTTGACATGAATACAAATGACTATCATTTTATCAATAGTTACGAGAAACAAGTTAGTCATCTGTTGCAGAAAGTATTTTACTCATTTACTTGGAATAACAAACAAGCTAACGATCCAAACCTGGCGAGAAATGGCATTGTTAGTAATGTCACAGATAATATAATATTACATAGTAATGTGGATTGATGATCCAATTGATAGCAATGTAACTTGTTAAGATGATCTTTACACAGCTCCCCTGGAAACCATCGTGATTAATTTGTCACGATGATCTTACTGACCTAACCACACGCTCATCTTATCATCCTCCACTGGTGCCTCGCCAGTGTAGTAACCAGTAACTGTTAGCGCAGGCGATTTCACCATTCCATTATCATCCATTAAAAAACCAGTCATTGTCATTATTTCAATCCTATGATATATTTGTCATATGGAATGGTGACAAGTGAATCTTCACGTATTCCGGATGACTAAGATGCCTTGCTTCATCATCATCATTTCAGCCCGGGAGACGTCCACTGCTAAACAAAGACTTCCCTCAAAAATCTCCACGACAATCGGTTCTGCGTTGCTCGCATCCAACACCTACTAGCGATCTTGACCAGATCGTCGGTCTACCTTGCTGGAGGCCCTCCCATGCCTTGTCTCAGTAGGTACTCTGCAATTTCTCTGCCTTGTACCGAAATACATCTTATAAAACATGATTGGTGGCTGAAATAGATGAGACTTCGGTATTCACGCAGACGACTTTGTACAAAGTCTTTCTTTCTCGTTTTTTTAACCAAATCTTTGAAATTTTATTAGTTTAATAATCATTGTCACAACGTTTAATTCTTAAAAATGTATTATTTATGCTCTACATCAGTGATTTCAGTTTTTTTAGTTAGAAATTTACGAAAAATCTATACCAGGTAAGAATGGGGGTTTGACCCAATATGTCAAGGGGCAATAAGACAATCTACGACATAAAAAATGTTTGAGAACCTTTGCTCTACACAATAATAATGTAGTGACTCACAAACACTAGTAACTACATACGCACAACATTCACTTTGTTAGGTATAGCAACGTGGAAGAGAGGCGGATGTTCATGTTGTTGTCTGTCAAAATCTTTATTAGATATTGAAAAGTTCTCTATACTAAATTATATAATAAAATTCTTTAGAAAAATACAATATATGAACTGTAAAAGTATGTGGCCAGTACGTCATCAACAGTTTATATTACTGTTTACATTTTGCAAATATTCAACAACGGCGTAATTATCAGCGTTTTATTGTGATAACATATTTACTGTATTTATTTCATAACCAGCAACTCATTATTTACTAAGATAGGATAAGACCAGCACTATATTTTTTTTAGTAAATTTATACGTTTATTGTAAGGCTGATAGTCTAGTAAAACTTTAAATTAAACCACAATGTGACCAGTTTTCGCGCAATATATAAAAATAAGTTCGCAAATACGTGAATAACAATATTCAGAAAGAAATGTTTATTAAGAAACGGATATTTTCATCCCTTTCCTTTCTTTTTATATATTGCGCCAAAACTGGTCACATTATGGTTTAAAAAAAGGGTTGAAAAATGTTTTTTTTTTTCAAAATAACTCGATAACGGTAAGAAATATGAAAATATATTTTAAATGAAAGATGTAGAGAATAAAAATCTGCATTTTTAGCCACAAAAAATTAAAAAACTATAAATAATAAAAATAGAGAAATAGTAACGGGATATTACCACGTTTTATCTATTTTTATTGAGTTCCCGATATATTGGCAATCTTTTAATCGCCATGATCACTAACGGACATCCTCATCATTTACCATCAGATGAGGTAAGACCAAGCGCAATCCCATTATTAATAAAAAAAAAAAATATGAGCAAACATATTTGCACGTCAACGTTTGTTGTTACTATTGATAATATTGATGATAGAATATCGAAAACTCGATAAATATAAATAAAAATGGCAACATCCCGTGATATTTGAACTCAATACAAAATAAAACGTGGTAATTTCCCGTAATTTATTCCTAATTTTACGCATATAAAATTCATGATATTTTTTTTTAAATAGACTATTCAAAATAACTAAATACTAATTCGGAGCATTAAGTCGTGGGCATTAACTACAGTTATAAATAATAAATAATAATAAATAAATAATAAATAGGAATATTCGAGTACTTTATTTGTACTTAGCATTATCATCATCTGCTTCTTCCTTATCCCATTTATTTGGGGTCGCTGTGATTTTGTACTATTATTATTATCGTTAGGACGGTAGGGAAAAAAAATTATAATGTAAAAATTTGACGTTCATAAGCAAAAGTGTTATATATAAGAAACGGATATTATGGTCATCCCAGGGTCTCGAAGGTCTTCGCTTCCAGTTTCACAGTAGGTTTCACAGTTCCAATTTATTTCAATTCACAACACAATGCGCGCGCGCGTCAAGGCCGCTGTAGTTAGGGAGGGGAAGTGAAAGCGCGGGAACAGAAAACTAACGGACTCTAATATAATAATCTGTGCTTACGATGATACAGGGTAGATTTTGAACAGTCCTACATGAATAAATTATTTTTGAGTTTTTTGAATTTTGAGTTATTTGTACTTACCGTTGACGTTTTATTAATATGTATATACAACTCAACAGACAGACCGTGAGTAGTATAGAACTGCATATTATAACAAGCATGTTGAGGTCAAACATCTCTGATGGCGGGCCCACCTCACCTGCAAATGAAAACAGATCTATCAAATCAGATAGAAACATAAATATTGACGGCCTCGGTGGTCTAGCGGTTTAGTACACCGCTTTACTACCGATGGTCGCGGTTCTATTCCTCGCACGGCACAAACATTTGTATTCATGAGTATGATTGTTTGTATCGGTCTGGGTGTTTTCTATGTATAATATGTATGTATTTACAAAAAAAATCTAAATATTTATATCAGTTGTCTAGTACCCATAACACAAGCTTTAGCTAGCTTAACTTGGGTCTAGATGGCGTTGTGTTAATTGTTCTGAGATTATTTATGTATAAATATTGACATATCCATAACACAAACTCTGCTTACAGTTGGGTTCGGTAGTCTAGTAACACTGCTACCATTAAATATGTTATAACTGTACCCAATATATACCTAAATATATAGTTATAACATAATAACTACGTTTTATATCCAATAGTTTATTTATTACTAGCTGCAGCCGCGACTTCGTCCGCGTGGAATTTAACTTTATTTTTCTAAAATAAAAGTAGCCTAGTCTCTTACTCCTTATTACATCAGCTACTGCCAATAATAGTCCCGTTAAAATCGGTCCAGCTCTTTCAGAGATTAGCCGGAACAAACAGACAGATAAAAATTGTAAAAAATGTTATTTTGGTGTATGTACCGTATTTATATCATCATTCATTCATATGCATGTAGTAAAAAATGGTTATTTCAATATTACAAACAGACACTCCAATTTTATTTATATGTATAGATGATTAACGGTTAGTGATTTGTAGGTCTCTACATTACGTCATGATGAACTATAAAAATATTTACTACTAGGTGATTGTACCTTAAAACCACAGAATGTCTTCACATATTACAACACATCAAAATCAATTTCACAATAAATTTAATATTGATGTTTGTTACTCTTTCACGCAAAAAATGTGTGTATTAGTTTAGTTTAGTTTAGTTTCATTTATTCATCGTTGCCTTGCCTTTATCCCATTATTTGGGCAGTATGTCATTCTCTTCCACTGCTCTCTATCGGTCGTCATTACTTGGGATCGGCGCACTACATTATCTTCCACTACTCTCTATCGGTCGTCATAGTTTAGTTTCATTTATTAACCAACGTAAAAAACATCTTTAGATATATGGCAAGTCATAATATACAATAATGATATTTATAAAATTTAAATTTGATCACATATAATTAAATTGATATTATTAAATAAAATAAAATAAATTAATTACGTACACAATACACGGTGTAACTAATTACAATACATGACGTATTGTAATAGAGTTAAAAATCATAATTACGGTATAATTATATAATTATACTTTGATTCCTATAGTCTATAATATTATAAAAAGGATGTTTTTCAAAGTAACATTTTATTTTCAATTTAAATTCTTTTGGAGGCAACTATCTGATAGTAATGTTTGCTGTCTTGTATGGATCAGAGTGCTTGCCCGTAAAGGCGACGGATGAAAGACGACTGCATGCAACTGAAATGAGAATGTTGAGGTGGATGTGTGGTGTGACAAGAATGGATAAGATAAAGAATGAACATTAGAGGAAGCATGAAAGTGGCGCCGGTGTCAGAGAGGTTGAAGAGTAATCGTCTATCATGGTATGGACATGTAATGCGTAGGAACGAGGATAATATTTTAAGAAAGGTGTTACATATGAATGTGGATGGTTATAAGGGCAGAGGAAGGCCGAAAAAGAGATGGATGGACTGTGTGAAAGATGATATGGTAAGAAAGGAAGTAAATAACGCGATGACTGCGAACAGGGATGAATGGAAGCGAAAAACATATTACACCGACCACAAATAAATGGGATAAGGAAGAAGCAGATGATGATGTCTGATAGTAATTGGTAGGTTATTATACATTTTTATTTTTAAAGTAATACCTTGTTTAAAAGTTTTACCGAGTCTTGTTTTTGGCAATTGTATCGCTTCAAAATCAGTTGCATAGTTTTAAAGATTTAAGCATACATAGGGATGGACAGACAGCGACAGCGACTTTATTTTATACTATGTAATGATGCTTATTATAAAACTGAAGAGATTAGACGTTACCACGTAAGTGTTTGTATAATGCGCCGCTTACTAACTTGTCAGTTTGTCTTATGGTTGACTGGTAGAGAACGCCCTCAGGTGTTAAGTTCGCCATATGCACATTTATATATTGTATTTGTGCATTAAAGTTTAAATAAATTAATAAATTAGAAATCATAATGATGTTTTCGTAGACAACATTTTACTTAAAATACATAGCGCTGACAATATTATCTGATTGCACAAAGAGATTTCTATGTTAAGAGTGTCTAATCCTTGTCAATGTGTATCAAATCATCACAAGAATAACGAGAAATAACTCTTTTAAATTTAAAAGAGTTATTTCTCGTTATTCTTGTGACGAGTCTGCGTTCTGAATGATTAATATATAAAAAAAAATTAACTATTCAGAAGTGCTTCATTTCATTCATAATTTAAGAGCTGTGCTCTTGTCGGTGGCGCTCCCGCCACCTTCCACGATCTTCTACCAGTTCTTTTAGCTGTTAAGTGTGCTATGTTAACTTTATTTCAATAAATATTATTTTTATTTCTATATCAAATTATTTACGAATGACAAACTTGCATGGCAACAGTTGTTCACGCATAAAACTAAAATTAAAACAATTATGTGAACAAAAGAATACCAGTCACATTATTTGATATAGAAATAAAAATAATTTGCTCAATAAATATGGTTTATCAGTTTTTAATTTATTTAAAAGTAATTCCAGAATATCTTGTTGTATAATTTTAAACTCATTCACATAAAATACCTATTGACTTTTCTTAATCATACTTAGACCTTTCTGTTTGTAATTCCTTACCAAACCTACCCCTTAAAAAGCCGGCCAATTAACTGTAATAAGTCTGACATTCTGGGGTGTTCATGGGCGGCAGTAATCACCTACTATCAGGTATGCCGTCAGCTAATTTGTCCCCTGTACTATAAAAAAACTAATATTGAATTAGGCTTACTTACTGCCATCCATATTCTTCGTGGCGAAACTGTAAATAGAGATAACGCTGCCCGCTTCGTTCATAGCAGTCACTCGGACCTGGTACCAAGTGCCAGGAGATAGATCGGGGACCACAAATGATCCGGTGCGATATATCGACTTCTCTTGGTACAGGGATGGGAGATTCCAAGTGGAATGTTCGTCGTATGACTGAAATCATATGTATGATTAGCAATGTAAACTAGCCTTGTATCTGTATGTAAAATATTACATAATTAAAAAAAAAACTGGCTACAACACTTGAAAAAATGAGACTACTTTTAAAATATACTGTAACCAAAGGTATCGGTTTATTAAGTAACAAACATTAGAAAAAGGAAATACAGCTGGAGAACCTCCTCCTCCGATTTTGGAGTCGGTTAACGAAACATATAATAAAAATATATATCACAGGCAATGATAATTAGTAACAAAAAGTAAAAAAAGTTATACTGTGTGGAAATTTTAATTTCATCGAAAAAATGCCACCAAAACTCAATTTATAAATTTATTTAAATCTTTTGACTTGAACCAATGGTAAACGTGGTAAGATTGTGTGATTTTTAAGCAAAAAATAATAACCGCGATAAATTTAAAAAAGATCACTAATGCAGATAAATGGGTTAATTAGTGTTTCACACTATTTCAACAACTCACACAGTATCAACTAGTCCTAAGTTAAACAGAGTTTGTGTTATGGGTGCTAGACATCTGATATAAATATTTGATATTTTTATTATTTATGTCATATATGTAAATATTTAAATTATAAATACATACACAATATACACAGAAAACAGACAGATTAACAATCATAATCATGATGTATTACATGAGTAAATTAGTGTTCTTATATAAATTTATCTACCTATAGATATATCTACTAATTATAAACACAATATTTGCCGTGTCAGCTAGTTTGAATAAGAATTAAAAATTACTATTGGATGCAGTGCTCTTATCCAGGTTCTGGTACCGAGCTGCCTGTATTCCACGTCCCATCCTCGGAGATCACAGCCTCCGTCGTCCCATCCGGCCAATTGTACATATATGTGACTGCAGTTACTCCATAACCAGTCTGCAGTTGTTGGAGAAATGGGTACTGAAAAATAGATTTTTTATTTATATTTATATATGAGGTTATATATTATTACTAGCTGAACCCGCGGTTTCTCCCGCGTGAAATGTATAGCTTATATGTTATTCTGATGTATAAGCTATATTACTGTAAGATTTCATCATAATCCGTTCAGTAGTTTTTGCGTGAAAGAGTAGCAAACATCCATCCGTACTCACAATCTTTCACGATTACAATATTAATAGGAGAATATAGAGTAGTCAGTACCTCCACCCAAAGTGCTAACGTCCATATAAGCTGGCTGTGAAGTCCCCACTTTATTTGTGGCAGCTATCCTCAAGGAGTACTTGGTGCCGCATTTCAGACTGGTCAGCAGATGTTTCTGTATCCCTGACAAGTTCGGCAGTTTGTTCGCTGGCCACGCTTCGTGCCACGGTCCATTAGCTTCCTTCCATGTGAGACTATAAGCTGAAGTTAGGACTATGATTAGTTTTTGGTCTACATAATAATTATAAACCTCGACAATTTACACAGCGTCATCTAGTCCAAGGTAAGCAGAGCTTGTGTTATGGGTACTAGACATTTAATATAAATACTAAGATATTTTTTTTGGAAATAATAAATAATAAGAAAACACCTAAACTGATACAAACAATCATACTCATGATACATATGTTTACGCTGTGCGAGGAATTGAATTAGCGACCATTGGAAGTAAAGGTTGTGCTAAACTGCTAGACCAACGAGACCGTTGTAAATATACCAAAAACACTTGATGCATTTCAAATTAAAAGCTGAGATTATATTTTTTAAGAGTAGATTATATGGCAAAGCAAAATGATGGATAAGAAAGAAAGAAATAAAGTTTATTTATCAACTAATATATACCTGAACATATGAACTTGAGCAATTTAGAACACCACCTTATTTCTGATAGTCGCGGGTTTGATTCCTCTAATTATGCAGGCATTTGTATTCATTAGTTTAATTATTTGTATCGGTCTGTGTGTTTCTATGTATGTACATATAAACACTTAGTTCTTGTATTATGTAAATACATATATAATGTAGGTCATTATATATGTACATATTTACATAATACTAGTTCTGTTTAGGTTCGGTTGATATATTCATTAGTTCGATTATTTGTATCGGTCTGGGAGTTCCTAAGTATGATATATTGTTTAGTTATCAAATATTGAAAAAGAAAATTCGTGTATTATTTTAAGTTAAACAAGATAGTGAAAGATTAAGTGTGTCCTCATTCATTCATAAACTTAATGGCAACGCTCTTGTCGGTGGAGTTCTTGCCACTTTCTACGACCTTCCATCATACTCTTTAAGCCTTGATACGACACCGCTCCAATTCTGTCTTTAATTTGTTTGATGTAACTGTGCCTTGATCTTCCTCTCCCCCTCTTTCCTTCTATCTTTTCCTCAATAATTAGTTTAAAAAATTCATCGTGCCGTATCAAGTGCCCTAACATTTTTCCTCTTCTACTTTCTATAGCATTCAATATCTACCTTTTTTCTTTCCCCCTGTGCAATACTTTTTCATTTCTTACTTTATCTTTCCAGATAACTCTTTCCATCCTTCTCCAGCACCACATTTTAAAAGCTTCCAGTTTGTCGTATCGTTTTCTTTTTGAGTTAATGTCCACGTTTCATATGCATACAAAGCCTGACGTATGTTACGACAGCTTAAAAGTCTACTGGAAATTGATGATTAACCAGGACCACCAAAAGAGACGATGATTCTGCTGGGAATCACTCTCTACCCGCGACGTAGCGCCTACACCACACATCTGTTCATAGTCTCCGACTGATTGCAGGATAGGCACAGAAAAAAAAACATGCATACAAAGCTATCTTACTTGGTCAAATTAGAAAAGATAATACTTACAAATCTTTTGGCGCGAACTTCTATTGCTGTGGATATAATACGGTTGCTCCCATTCCACCAGGATAGAGTCTTTGTATGGCGTCGCTCTTAGTATTGGAGCTTCTGGAAGTGGTAGAACTATCACCACATACTCCACGGAATCTGAACCGTACAGGTTTTTGGCTAAACAACTGTAATTACCGCTTAATGATTGGTCTATATCTGAAATAAACCAGGCGAACGTTATTAGCATCTATTAGTATGGAGTAAGGTACAATTTTGTGTAACACTATTTGGAAGTTACATTGTTGGTCATGTGTTCGAATTCGACCGACATTATAAAATATTGCATGTAAATGTTATATTTTTAGGTGTTCAAAACTTTACGAGTCATTTTACATTTGTCACGTGAATTACATGTGATTGAAACAATTGGTTTATTTATGGTTTGATTAGAATTGAAGTACAAATTGAATTTGGCAAGTGTACAATATTCTAGTTGGATAAAGTATTACAATCACCAGAATTAGATTGTAAAAACAAATCGGCGTGGGTAACTCAGTCTCACTTATTCCTAACATAAAGTAGCTTGATTTAGCTGTATTCTAGGGTTACACAGTTATATCAAGTGTGTTTTAGGGTCTGATTAGGCAGTGAACTTATTTTATTTTGTATATGTATTATTTATTTAATAACAATAATAGTTATAATAATCTCAGGTCAATTTACACAGCGCCATCTAGTCCCAAGTTAAGCTATCTAAAGCTTGTGTTACGGGTACTAGATAACTGATACAAATTCATAGATTTTTTTTCGTAAATACATATAAATTATACATAGAAAACACCCAGAGTGCCGTGCGAGGAATCGAACCCGCGACCATCGGACCGCTAAACCACCGAAATCGTCATTTGTGGCTGTACATGATATTTCATTATCAAGTTATTAAATATGTACTTATGTATGTGTATATACGTACATATATAGGTATTTATTAATATATATTTGTATGTGTATTATTCAATTTATTATTTATTTATCTTTGCACCGCCAACAATTATCTTCTGCACCACCCATGGGTTGACTGGTAGATAAAGTCAGATATAGTTAAGTCGGCCATATGAACTTTAAAATTATGTGCATTAAAGTTTAAATTCTTACTAATATTATAAATGCGAAAGTAACTCTGTCTGTCTGTCTGTCTGTCAGTCTCACTTACACACCAAAACTACTGAACCGATTTAAATGAAATTTGCTACACAGATAGTCTAGACCCTAAGAAAGGACATAGTCTACTTTTGAATGCGATAGAAGGGTTATAAGGGGTTGAAAGAGTTATATATGGAAGTGTCGTCATTTTTGAAGATGAAACGATGAAACTTTTTCATTTGGCTTTTATTGGGTTAGGTCATTAAATATTTTTTTCATTATTTGGTCAAGGTCACTATTTCGCGAAGTCGCGGGTACAGCTAGTAAATAAATAAATTAACAGGATAAGGGGTATGTTATCATAGTCTTCTGGAATGGCACCGCTTGAGTGTTATCATGGGTGTCGCATGATAACGTGATATCCGTAGTTCTGTCCATATATATACGGAAGGGTTACTGCTTACCGTCACTTGCCAATACCATACTTACTGTTTATAAGTAAGCTGTCATCATGATTTCTTGTGAATCTAGGATGGTGGGTGATGATGTTGTGTTTGTGGTACCAGACAGTCCTCGGTGGTGGAATTCCCACACAGTGACAAACTAGAAGCAAAGAACTCCCTACTCCTACTGATATTATACCACCCAGAGAGGCCACACCTGCGACCACTGTAAAAGAAAATAGAATAAATAAATACATAACCCTAGACAATTAACACAGCGCCATCTAGTCCCATGGTAAGCAGAGCTTGTGTTATGGGTACTAGACATCTGATATAAATATTTAGATATTTTTTTGTAAATAAATACATAGAAAATACCCAGACCGATACAAACAAACATACTCATGAATACAAATGTATGTAAGGTGCGAGGAATCGAACTTGTGACCATCGGTAGTAAAGCGATGTGCTAGACTACCGAGGCCGTCAAATATTCATTCTTTTTTTTAAACTATTAACTTATTTTTTTCTGACCATATTGGCCCGCCCTGTAGATGGTGTAGGGCAGCCCCATCTCGTTGTTGGGGCGACCTATTACGCCTTACCCAATTGTGGAAGCGCATGCATCCAGGCCACTTGATTTGCCCCAGAAGCGTCCGTGTGTACCCACACGCATCCACAATTGAGTCGGGCGAAATAGGTCGCCCTAACAACGAGATGGGACCTGCCTAACACCATCTACGAAGCGGAGCAACGCCGCCGGAGTCGTGGTAGAATGCAACGCGACCTCCCGACTCCGCCAATGTCGGTTGTAGGAACACCATGTGGTATTTTAGTAAGTAAGAATCAAACACACCCTCTTGTCATCCCTCTGTCGGTCGGTCTGGTCTTTTGAAGCTTTATCCACACGATAATGAATATGCGATATGATAAATTGTATATAGGTTTGAACAATCATTGGGCTCCCTAAAATATGGTCGAGCGCAGTGATGGCTGGCTCATCTGTCATACTCGTGAACGAGTGCTGCTCGTAGGGACTGTTCTGCTCTTATCACTACGACTGATTTAATCTTATTGTGTATTTATATTTAAGCCTAATAAATTAGTGCTGGTTGGTAGTTTGTATACACACGTTTCGAATTGTATAATGTAAACTTACAAGGATTGTTTAAAAGAGCAACACACAAGTTTCTTGCTCGTTCTTCTTGTGATGAGACAGTTTTCCGAATGAGCGGTAGATTAAAAAAAAACATTGTTGTGACTATTCAAAAGTCCTTAAATTAAGTTTATTTGAATAAATTATTTTCTATTCTATTCTATTCTATTCACAATAATTGTTTTATATTAAATTTTCAATAGAACCAAAACAAAGAATTAAATTAAGTATTGTTTAAATTTTTGTCTGTTTATCCCGAAACTGCTTATGTTGGTGCTCTTTTCTCTTCTTGTATCGTGGTAAGCTTTACATAAAATTATGTGTTTTTATTCCAATCGGGTTTACAAACGAAAAAATTATATGCGTTTCGTATTCATATAACTATTTCGTTTGAAGTTTCACGAGATCTTCTTGTTAAGAACTACGAGTACGTGTGTCAAATTCTAATATTCTTATACTTGTAATATTTATATCAATACGTTATATTTTATTTATATTATATTTTAACGAATGCGATGACGTAACGCGACAACAATCTGTTTTACTTTTTTGATATTTTTCCTTGAATAATTATTAGTGCGAGTCATTTGAATATAAATTGATATCATTATCAATTCAGTTTTAAAATGCATTTGACTCATTCATTGTTAGGACTACATTAATATGACGAATGTTAGCGTATTGGACTATTTTTGTATATGAAGCCGAAAGTTAGATAGAATACATATCAAACTGAATCACTTGCTACAAGAATTAAAGTTGACTATTGAAATTACTTGTTAAAAACCAAATGTTATTTGCTTTGTGGTTTTCTATTTTTATTTTTATGGATGACAATGGAATGATGCATCCGCCTATGCCTATAACGGTAACCTATAACGGTTTACGCTGGCGGGGCACCAGTGGACGATGATAAGATGAGCATGAGGTCAAGTCAGTAAGCCCATTGTGACAAATTCACCAAGAATTTATTACGATGGCTTCCAGGCATGGAGGTCAACCTGACATGTACATTGCTAGCAATAAGATCATCTGTTGTAACTTGCTAATGAAGAAACGTTTTATATTCTAAATTTGTATTTGAATTTATAGTTATTTTATATTACATTCTTGTTTTTGATACTTAATTCCTTCTTTCTATTCCTAATTGTCAGTAGTCTATATTAATATATTTTTTTCTCCGTTTACCTAGTCTTTTTTCTTACTACTACAACATCATCAGTCCACGTTACTAACAATTGTTTCCCTTTGTTGGTATTGTCAAGTAGTAAGTGTCCTTTCAGTCATTCAAAGTTGACTGATTTGGGATAAATTCGCTATTGTACAACATATTTCTTAAGATCGTTGTATCTTGTCATTTTAAATGTATTTACTGTATAATGAAGTATTACAAAAAAATAAACAAACATTTTACAAACTTCTTTTTTTTATACTAATTTGATCAAAAAACGTTAATTGATCTTTGTGTGGAAAATAAATCATTCTGAGAATTCCACTTTATTTCTTGATGAAAGTGCTTCAGAGTGTACATGGTTTTTGGTAAAATTTATGCACTTTGTATAGAATACATGCGAAACTGAACCACTTGCACCAAGAAATAAAGTTGACAATCGAAATTACTCGTTAAAACCGTATAAATTTTACAAACTTTTTTTCATAATATTATAATTTGGTCAAGTAAATGCTTGATCTTTGCATAGAAAAAAATCATTCTGAGAATTCTATTTCTTGAACTTCAACTCTATTTCTTGAAAAAAAAATGCTTCAGTTTCAACATATCTGTTATGAATTTTGCATATCTTTTAGTTTGGTATATATACATTTTCCGACTATATCTGGTTGTTGCATATTATTATTTATGTACAAACTATTATTAACTATTTATGCCGTGATGTCAACCGGCATTTAATTAAAAGAATTTTTTTATTAAATTAAATAGCAACTACCGTCGTCTCTGATCTTACCATATTGTATTCATAATTGTACCATATTTTCGTTATTATACAGGGATAATAATATTATTCTTATCCGTGGAGAATTTTTCTTATCAGCATTATGAATGTTATAGTTATTTATATTTAATCAACAACCAAATAAGTTTCAAGCTTCTGCTTTAAAAATGACAATACTTACATTTAATTTTTCATCTCCCTTACAACGCTTTTTTCGATTTAAAAAGTAGCCTATGTCCTTTCTCAGGGTCTAGACTATCTGTCAAATCAAATTTCATTTAAATCGGTTCAATAGTTTTGGCGTGAAAGCGAGACAGACAGATAGACAGAGTTACTTGTGCATTTATAATATTAAGGATTATTATTTACCTTTACCAATTCTCGTTTATTTATATTTTTATTCAGTTTTTTTTCGTTTTTGTTTAGCTCATAAGAGTCATAAAGTGATTATGAATACAGAATAACCTCTCAAGAAATAGGATATAAAGCAGAAATAGGTTTTATTCTTAAATTTGACTGGTGATCTAACTGGCAGTTTCACAGACGGATGCGTAGCAACAATGAAACATTTTAGCTTATATATTCATTTTAGTTTAGCAGACTGCCCTAGATTCATATGGGGCTCGTAAATTCGTGCCTTTTTTATAAAATAATAATATCTTAGTACAATTCATGCAGTGTTTTTTTTTTAATTTAACCCAAAATAAGCAGAGCTTGTGTTAGAATAGAATAGAATAGAAATCATTTATTCAAATAAACTTACATTGAAGCACTTTTGGATAGTCATCACATTTTTTTTAATCTACCGCTCATTCGGAAAGCTGTCTTATCACAAGAAGAGCGAGCAAGAAACTTGTGTGTTGCTCTTTTAAATAATTTTATTCTTACTTTACAATTTAAGTTTAAGTGTGTGAATACAAACTACCGATTAGCACTAATTCAATTAAATAATCAAATAGAATAAATGTGTACTATGTACGTGTTATGTGTACTAAATAACTAATATAAATACATAGTGACTTTTTTTTAATATGTACATACATAATATACATAATTGACGGCCTTTAGCGGTTTAACACATCGCTTCGGGCTTGCGGGTTCGATTCCTCGCACGGCACAAACATTTGTATTCATGAGTATGAAAACACCCAGACTGATACAAACAGTCATATTCATGAATGTTTGTACTGTATGAAGAATCGAACCAGCATCGTCAGAAGTAAGGACTGCTAAACCGCTAGACAACTGTCGCCGTATTTAGATAATGTGTAGACTTATCATTATCAGCTTCTTCCTTATCACATTTATTTGTGGCGTAATATGTTTTTCTCGTCCATTAATGTTCGCATCTTTCAAACATGTGGAGTACCTACAGGCCACTTATTTAGTCTATGCTTTATTTATAAGCTTCATATTTTAAATATCGAATTCCATTCTAAATTATCACTTCATTCTATTGTCTTTTTCGGTTTTCCTATTTGGCTCTAGTTAGTAGTGGTAGTTTTTGTTTCTTTGTATAATATACTAGCTACTCGCCGGCTTGGCACAGGTGTACTATATGTATGAACCTTTCTCTAGAATGACTCTATCTATTAAAAAAACCGCTTCAAAATCCGTTGCGTAGTTTTAAAGATTTAATACATAGGGACAGACAGCGACAGCTACTTTATTTTATACTATGATAATGATACATCGTCGTAAGCGACAATTCCTTGGTTTTTTTTTATCGCCCACAACACAGTTCATTCATCTCTTTTTCGGCCTTCCTCTGGCCTTATAACCATCGACATTCATAATATATATTTCATTAAATTCATAAGAAACTATATACCGTACTTACATCGAAAAAGCTTATCTGAAACTGGTGAACTTTGACAGGACTTTCACTCTTTATATTATGAAGAGGAACTTCTATTTTCTTAATATAATATAAAAACGTTTAATTCCACGCGGACGGAATTGCGGGTAACATTATTTTTTTTATATATAAATGGAATAACAGGTATATTGACGATCTATTTGATCGTGAATGGTATTTGTCGTCATATCATCATGTGTCACCCATAGTGACTCATGCGTTGGAATTCGGGCCACTAAAATACATGTATCGCTTCTATATCCAGTAATAATATATGCCATGGAACACCCAGAGCAATACAAACAACTATACATGAATACAAATGTTAGCACCGTGCGAGGAATCGAACCCGCGACCATCAGAAGCAAAGCGGTGTGCTAAACCGCTAGACCACCGAGGTCGTCTATAAATTGTATTTATTGTATATCCACTGAATATTTCATCAGTCAATTATGAAGGTGATTACCTCGATGAGTTGGTGCATGTGATATCCTCCGCGTGGGTGGACCCTCTCCAGCCCTGGTAGATGCTGTGACCCATACTTCATACGTGCGTCCTGTGGTCAAATCCTTCAGTTCCACAATGTTCCGACTGGATTCATCAGCTCGGTGCGTCTGAGGCGGGCCACTGCTGTATGGTAATAGGGCATATGCCTGCTGTTAAAAAGTAACTTCTCTAGGATATAAATGAATTATTTAAGGCCAGAGAATGGGGGATGTTGGTTTCATGAATATTTTTTGGATTGTAACCCATTTACACACATTAGAATAGATCGATAGGTTTTTATGGATGACAATGGAATGACGCACCCTTTTTACGGACTACTCTAATACTGTTGGCCAAGGGGGAAAGGAATTGTTAGTAATGATCTTATCGCTAGCAATCTCAGTCAGTTTGACCTCCACGCAGCTCCCATTGGAAACCATCATGATAAATTCTTGGTGAATTTGTCACGATGGGCTAACTGACTTGATCTCACGCTCATCTTACCATCCTCCACTGGTGCCCCGCCAAAGAAAACCGTTGATGCACCATTTTTATTATCAACCATAAAAAATACTGTTGGCGACAGCTAGCCTTTACAGCTTTACCGGACGATAGAGGACGAGTGCAGATGGCACTCCAAACCCGCGGTAGGACTTATGTAGCGGCTGAATGCCAACTCGCGCTTGACGGATACGACTTTAGTCTGAGGGCACCGCTACGGGTTCGAACCTCGGCTCAGACCGTCGTAATATAATTTCGATCTCCGTTTGAATTTGACAGGGGACTGATCGGAAGGGAATGGTGCACCCGTTTGGGCTAACGATATACTCTGACGGGGTACCAGTGGAAGATAATATGATTAAAATGTAGTCAGGTCAGTTAGTTCACGATGATGAATTTACTCGAAATTAAAAACGATGGTTTACAGGGGAAACTGCCTGGTGGTATCTAGTCCCCATTACTGATAATCCTTCCCCATACTATTTGGTAAAAAAATATTAATTAACGTTATTTTTATTGTAACTGCAAGAATCTTTCAAATAATAACCTTTCCGCTAAGTAAGGATAGTTTCTTTACTTAGCTATAATAAGAGACACGACACCTTAGTTTTATGAAATGGCAACATATGAGTGGTATCACAAGGGTCACATGATAACGTGATGTCCGTAGTGATTTTTATTACGAGTATATATAACGCTTACCATCAGCCTGTTTGCTTAATACTTAATGGTAAATTTAGTGAAGAAATGTATAACAACCCTAACTTTATTTATAATCTGTGTCATGTATAGCTAACCTGTGCAGGAAACGGATATAGTATTTTCTGTTCTTGATCTCCTTGTGAAAAAGTCTTTTGTTTTCATTTAAATAAAATCTGTACGTGTATTAACTAAAACTGTTTATTAATCACTGTTAACAGCAACACATAACAATAAAACAAAATATTTTTTTTTATTACAAATCAATATCGTTCATTTAAAAAAATGGCGAAAGGCGTATCAGGTTATAGCCATATCTTTTTACCTCACGTCATCCGGCACCCTACCTCTTTTAGAATGAAAAAAATGTCAACAGATGTTCGTCTCTTCCACGAAAGATTTAAATAACGGTCAAGGATTTAATACGCAGTGTAGCGATGTAGTAATCACAGTTGAGTTCGTATGACGTCACATCTTTATGACGTTGCATGACGTATGTATCGTCAAATGTAATAGTCTTGCGTAACAGTTCGTGACTCGGAGCGCTCAATTTAGTTCGCTGATCTTCTGTGAATCACTATACCTTATACGCTGTAGCATAGTGCGGGTGAGCTTCATTAAGGTTTCGTTTCACTCTTAAAAGTTGCCGCGATTTACAACTTATGACTTAGTATATATATAGCATATATAGAACATTTGTAATATATAAAATAATTAATAACCCATAACACAAGTTTAGCTTAACTTGGGACTAGATGGCGCTGTGTGAATTGTCCTGAGATTATTATTATTATTATTATTAATAACTGTATTAACTTAATAGCAATACATAATTAGTAACTGCCCCCTGCACCGTGCTTATAGCATACACAGCATAAGCAAATTATCACTACGTTATAATCGCCTATCTCCTATAAGCATCTTTGATTTTTAGTCGTACTACTATCGACATTACTAGATCGGGTTAGTGACCTCTTTGTTTACTTCTAAGTTCTATTGAAATGCAGTGTACCTATTTTAACAAATGATTTAAAGAGCGGGAGATCTGCGTAATAAGGAGCGTTCTTTCAAACTAGTTCGTTCGCAAACTACACCAGACAAAACTGAATGGTAACATAAATAGATTAATAAGCAAATTATCACTACGTTATAATCGCCACTCTCCTATAAGCATCGATGATTTTAGTCGTACTACTATCTACATTACTAGATCGGGTTAGTGAACTCTTTGTTTAGTTCTAAGTTCTATTGAAATGCAGTGTACCTATTTTAACAAATGATTTAAAGAGCGGGAGATCTGCGTAATGAGGAGCGTTCTTTCAAACTAGTTCGTTTGCAAACTACACCAGACAAAACTGAATGGTAACATAAATAGATTACGCTGACTAACAGCTTCCTGATGTCTCGTTAAGTATCGTTTAGAAAAGTTCAATGGATCTTTTATGGGAATGGGTGTAAAAAATTATAATAAGATAATTCAATTTCAAATACAAATATAATTTTTTCATGTAGGACATTTCATGACATGACATTATGAATGTCAAATTTTATATCAATTTTGATACCAAAGGGTAACACTAGAATTACCTTTAAATAAATTTAAAACATATTTGTTCATTCATGGGTTTTTACTATATAAGTACATAATGTAAATAAACTGGCTTAAAACAAGGAAATTCAATTGAAATTCTTGCCAGTTCTTCTCAATTGAATCTACATATATACATAAATGGACATAAATGGACTACATATATACAAAAATAATTAATACAAGAAATATGACGTTCATAAGCGGAATAGCGGAATGATTTTTGATTTGAAACTTGAATATTTTGGTTGGATCAAGTAAGATAACAAATTTTACTATATGCGAATGGTTTTGTTTGTTGTTTAACAATATACTAACCTTGACGTGGGTTTCACATATATGGTGTAATACAACAATTCCCCATTAGGATGTTCAGGTCTCTTCCAACTGACGAGGAGAGATGTTGACGATAGCACCAACACTTTGATGTCTGCTGGTGACCCTGGAACTAAAGATGGGGATCTTATGATAGAAGTACATAGCAGACAAGTTATCTCATGTTGAAGCATCATGGTCTACGTCATCAGTCTCGTACCCAAGGATGGTGAGAATAAATCTGGTCATGAACAAAAAACCTTTACGTGTCTATTTATACTTCTTATTCTCTGGAGATAGAAATGTTGTTACGTCCATTTACATACGAGGTTGAAGATTTTTTTAAAAAGGGAATATGGCTCTGGATAAAAGATTTGCTAAATGTATTGACCTAAGGGGTGATTACATTAAAAAATAAAATAAAATAAATTCATTTTCTAACATAGCCATTCTAATACTTTTTGAACGCCCCTAGTTATAACGTATACCATTGACCTGCAGGTATACCATCTACTTGTTCACCATTTCAATTACAAAAAAGAATTAGTTTATTCATAACTAGCTTTTACCCGCGACTTCGTCCTCATGGAATTTAACCCTTTTTAATCAATTTAATTGGAATATAAAAGTAGCCTAAGTTACTCGTTCTAACAATAGCTATCTGCGAGTGTAAATCCCGTTAAAATAAGTGCAGACGTTTTAGTGAAAAACTGTTAATTAAAAACTATAAATAGATTATTTTTAAACTTTCATGATTAATATACATTGTTTATATTATTAACCGGGTTTTAACACGAATAATTTAATGGCAAACAACCTCCTCGACCTCCGGTACCTTCCTCTACTTTCCTCTTTGACTAGGTTGCACTAGCCGTGGTCACGAGCTGACTGGAGTAACAGCGATGTCAATGTAGATAGGTCTCAGCAGTATTTTTTTCTACTTAGAGATAAATGTCTTTATTAGCCATAAAATTATTCGTTTTAAGACTCGGTTAATAATATAAATAATGTACAAATAGATTCAATTTTATTTATTTGTATAGATTAAGAAAACAAGTCTCTCCTGTTTAACCGGTAGATTAAAAACATGTGATGACTATTCAAAAGAGCTTCAATATAAGTTTATTTCAATAAATGATTTCTATTCTATTCTATTCTAACTAGTATAGATCAAATTATATGGTGGTATATTTTGATCGGTCGATTTTGTCGGATATAAAACCACAAGCGGAAGGTGACTCAATATCTTGCTCTGCCGTCGAGGTCATGTGTTGGGACATCACAGTCTCGACCGACAAGAGGACAGTGCAAGGTCAGTACAAGTAAATGGAGTTCGAATACTACGCTGGCGTCACCTCATATCATGCCACTGAGAAGAATGAGTCGTAAGTTTGGCAATTTATTATGTCCAATCATTACATAGTATAAAACAAAGTCGCTGTCGCTGTCTGTCCGTCCCTATGTATGCTTAAATGTTTAAAACTACGCAACGGGTTTTGAAGCAGTTTTTTTAATAGATAGAGTGATCCAAGAGGAAGGTTTATATGTATAATACATGAACATCCGTGCAAAGTCAGGGTGGGTAGTTAGTTATCTATAATACGGAGGAATGATTTGGATTTGTAAAAACTACGTTGCCGATTTCAGATAGTCTTTTGTTCATTGAGATCTTACTAATATTATAAACGCGAAAGTGTGTAAGTATCGATGTACGAATGGATGTTTGTCGCAATAACTACTAAACGGATTTTGATGAAACTTTACAGTTATATTAATTTATGTAGCTTATACATCAGAATAACACATCTCTACATAGTATAAAACAAAGTCGCTGGCGCTGTTTTAGATCTTTAAAACTACGCAACGGATTTTGAAGCGGTTTTTTTAATAGATAGAGTGATTCGAGAGGAAGGTTTATATATATAATACATGTACACCCGTGCGAAGCCGGGATGATTAGCTAGTAATATTATAAATGCAAAAGTTTGTAAGTATGTATGTTTGTTACTCTTTCACGCAAAAACTACTGAACGGATTTTAATGAAACTTTACAGTAATATAGCTTATGCAGCAGTGTAACACATAGGCAATTTTTTTTGTAACTTACCATCTTGTAATGTAGAGCAGATTATTGGGTATGAATACGGTCCAGATCCATAATTAGAGAAGCCGGCAACTTTCACTGTGTAATTGGTATACTTCAGCAGATTTTGAAGATATAGTTCAGTGTGGAGTGATGTTTGATTATGCCAGGCATCGTCTGAAAGTGTCAGTAAGTTAAATGTTTATCAAACAAATCTTATTAATATGATAAGATGGTGGAATTACCACGGCCTTGGTGGTCTAGCTTACTTTCCGATGGTCGCTGGTTCGATTTCTCGCACGGTACAAACATTTGTATTCATGAGTATGATTGTTTGTATCGGTCTGGGTGTTTTCTATGTATATTATTATACGTGTTAAAAAGGTATCCATGTAATTATTTGACGACCTCGGTGGTCTAGTGGTTTAGCCCTCCGCTTTACTTCCGATGGTCGCGTGTTCGATTCCTCGCACGGCACAAACATTTGTATTCCTGAGTATGATTGTTTGTATCGGTCTGGGTATTTTCTATCTATCTGTGTATTTGTATCAGTTATCTAGTATCCATAACAGAAGCTTTAGCTAGCTTAACTTGGGTCTAGATGGCGCTGTGTGAATTGTCCTGAGATTATTATTATTATTATTATTATTGTTATCATCGTCTCACTCTCTCAGCTTTTGATGGTTTTTTTCCACACTAATTATTATTATTATTATATCAGTTATCTAGTACCCATAACATACGAGTACATACGGTAAGCTTTCTTGAGACTAGATGGCGCTGTGTGAATTGTCCTGAGCTATTATTATTATTATATGTCAAGCAAATATGGAGTACCGTATGGAAGTAAATATACAAAATAGTCTGTATAGATTAATGCTTTTAAGTTTATACTTCGGAACACAGCGATAAAGAACATATTTGTATGTCCTTGGATTTTAATAATCTTTAAAAATAAAACGTATAAAGTTAACGGTTGATAACTTCCTCGAATTATTGCATAAAAATGATGCTACTTCTAATTTTAAAGGCACATCTAGTTTTTCTTGATAATAATTACATTTCTATGAATATACTTAATCTATTATTATTATATACATATATATAACTCAAAGGTGACTGACATAGTGATCTATCAACGCACAGCCCAAACCACTGGACGGATCGGGCTGAAATTTGGCATGCAGGTAGATGTTATGACGTAGGCATCCGCTAAGAAAGGATTTTGATTAATTCTACCCCCAAAGGGATAAAATAGGGGATGAAAGTTGTTATGAAACTTTGTCAATTTTAAACCGATTGGGCTGAGACTTTGCATTCATAAATTTACTATGAGGTAGGCATCCCCTAAGAAAGGATTTTGATAAATTCCACCCCTAAGGGGATAAATTAACGCGAGCGGAGCCGCGGACAAAAGCTAGTACTTAATAAGGATACAAGCGTTATTTAAGTAGTAATCTATTTTGTACCTTCTGTCGTATATAATATGGTGTATCCTACAAGAGAATTGCCTTGTCCGGGTAACACAATCGGTTGCCAACCGACCCTCAATGATGTTGAGGAAACTGCAGTGCATTCTACTGAAGACGGCGCTTTTTCTGGAGCTGAAATAAAATTAAAAATATATAAATATAGTATAGATAACTAGCTGACCCGGCAAACGTTGTTTTAGCATATAAATTATTTTTGAAAATTATTAAAGTAATAATACTAATTTTCAGGGAGGGTTTACAGGAGGGAGAGACAGGGTTTATAGGAGGGAGAGACTCAGGGAGGGGCATTATCTTCAATATTTAATCATTCATCAGTTAATGACAAATAAACATATATAGGAGCATATTCATGCTATCGACGGCAGTTCGATAAAGCGATTTTTATAGTCTCTATCCAATAGTAAATTAATGTGAATTTATTAAAAGAATTTTAATAATGAGGTATTACGTGTTAGGGCGTAAAACCTCAATATTAAAAATTGACTTGTCTTTCTTTTTTATTCGTATAGAAAAAAATTTACCTCCTTCTCGAGTATCTTGAAATACAGGCAGCGAGAAAGGCCCGGAACCAGCATTGTTGAATGCTGATATTGATATTGAATATCTGGAATTAAAATTGATTGATTTTATTATTTTTATTCATTAAATAATTTTGTGCGACTTTGTATAAAGTTTTGGTTTTATTCATTCAGTAAGTTTTTGAGACTTTGTATGAAGTTAACTATGTCTCTGTTGCAAACTCTTTGCACATTTTTATATGTTTACTAGCTGTCTCGTCAAACGTTGTTTTGCCTTAAAACAAAAAAATTAGGGATGGACTACCCCTAACATTTAGGGGGATGAAAAATAGATGTTGGCCGATTCTCAGACCAATACACTCAATACGCTCACAAAATTTTATGAGAATCGGTCAAGCCGTTTCGGAGCAGTATGAGAACGAAAACTGTGACACGAGAATTTTATATATAAGATATTTCTACCAATTTTAAATGTATTTTCGTTTAGAATTGTCATATATTTTTATTGTCACTTTTTGTCTTACAACCGTTTGTACATATATCTTCATTATAAGTATTTACCATTTTATTTTATTTATTTATTTATCCTTTATTGCACTATTTAAAATAATGTACAATTGGCGAGCTTAATGCCATATGGCGTTCTCTACCAGCTAACCGTTGGGTAGAAACAGAAAGCGGTTGAAGGGCAGTATTGGGAAAAGGCATACTATTTGTATTTACCTAACTTAGGTATATATATCGATAGTATTAAGCTTACATACCTATGAATATATATATACAAAAACACAAAAATATATAAATAATAATAATAATAATAAATAAATATATAAATATATATACAAGAAATTACTACTATATATTTTATACGACAACGGAATGCAGTTATCGTGTCATTTTCTATCCATTATTTGATTTACATCACACATACATACCATTCTATCACCTACATTTTGGTCCTACTTCGGTAGAATTCCAACATTTATATCCTGCAGTCTCATTTAACAACTATTACATCTATAGGACATAGTTGCCTAGATACATAAATATAATAATTGCAATTAATTACGGCTAGTAAGACAAACTCAATATTGTCTACTAAGCACTGCCGTGTCTAAGCTGTGTTTGGTAAATGTTCTTGGAGGTATTAGAATGAACATAAGATACTTTTTATTTAAAAAAAACACATTTTTTATAAAAAAACAAACATTTTTAAATATCAACAGCAGCAGCCAGTAATGAAGTTAGAAATCATTAATAAATCAGCGCCATATAGTATTCAGCAATGAAATTATAAATCAATTGAGTATAGTTTCAGCTAATTGGAATTTTTGAGGTTACATGTCATTTTAAAAGATGGAACGTCCCTATATTTAATGGATTAAATACGATTGAAGCCGCGGGTAAAAGCTAGTAACACATAAAAGTATTGAAATTACTGATAACCGTCGAAAATGCGAATTAACATTTATATATGCTGACTGCTCTAACTCATTAGTGTCGCCATAAGTCAAAATGTGATAAATGTTTAGTTGTTATTTTAATCAAGATTCTTATAATTGTAAGGTGTTTTCTTTATATATTATGTATGTATTTACAAAAAAATCTAAGTATTTATATCAGTTATATAGTACCTATAACACGAGTTCTGCTTAACTTGAGACTAGATGGCGCTGCGTGAATTGTTCAGGGATATTGTTATAGGTTTTTGTTGAGAATTAAACTCGCGATAATTTGTTTTTACTATATTTTTTCTTCTAAAATATAGACTACGAAAAAATAAATATGATGATAGTACCGGGGTCATCGTTTTTCCTTATATTTTTCCTTTAATAATAAGTTCCTCGAATCATATCAAGTATCCTAACATTTTCCCTGTCTGTATTAAGTAATGTTGTTGATTTGTTTTTTTATTTTAATTTTTGTATGACTTCATCATTATAATAAAAAAGTTAACAACAATTTTTCTTTATCTTGCTAATATTATAAACGCGAAATTTTGTGAGTATGCATGGATGGATGTTTCTTAGTCCTTCACGCAAAAACTATTGAACATGTTTTGATAAAAATTTACTATTTAAAAATTTATCACAGTTTTTTAATAAATTTCATTCTTCACTTTTCCACAGATTTTATTCATATGCCTGGCCTTCTAAAGTGACAAATCTTTACTAATATTATAAATGCGAAAGTAAATCTGTCTGTCTCTATGTCTTGCTTTCACGCCAACACTACTGAACCAATTTAACACATAGCCTAGACCCCGAGAAAGGACATAGGATTTTTAATGCGAAAAAATATTTGTAAGGAGTGATTAAATTTGTTAGTATGGAAGTATAGTTATTTTTAAAGCCTATATATATATAATATTTACCTTGTATTCTTGAGTAAGCCACTGAGCAATGTTTCCTGCTTTCCGGATTGCTGCGTTATTTTCAAAGTCTTCTTATTGTTCTCATCTGTAATATACACGTGTTTGTCAAAATCAAAGCCCAAATAATTTATTCATATACGGAACTTCTTGCTTAGCAAGAAGACTTCACTAATAAATGCATTTTCTGATATACATGCATGTATCACGGGCCATCTCCTATTCTTTACTTTTCATAGTCATTGGGCTCCCTAAAATATGGTCGAGCGCAGTGATGGCTGACTCATCCGTCATACCACGTGAACCAGTGCTGCTAGTAGGGACTGGTCTACTCTTATCACTATGACTGATTTAATCTTATTGTGTTTTTATATTTGAGCCTAAATAAATTAGTGCTGGTAGTTTGTATTCACACGTTTCGACTTGTAAAATGTCAACTTACAAGGATTGTTTAAAAGAGCAACACACAAGTTTCTTGCTTATTCTTCTTGTGATGAGACAGCATTCAGAAAAAGTGGTAGATTAAAAAAAAAAGTTGACTATTCAAAAGTGGGGTTTTTCAAGAGTTTTTTAAAGGTCATGTGCGTCCGTGAAACCTCTGGTATTTCAGGCGTTCATAGGCTACGGTAACTGTTTACCATCCGTGGGCCGTATGTATGATTGCCAACTACGCAGTACAAAAAATGATATTAATATATACTGCGGGTAATTAATATCAGTAGTTGTATACCTGTTCCACCGTTCTGAGGTATCGCTTTCAAGTGATACCCCATTATTATTCCATTGTGTGACTCCTTAAGAGGCGGTAGCCAGGAGACGTACAGTTCGCCAGGATTCTCCGTCTGCTCTACTTGTAAGTTGACAGGAGCTGATGATGGTGCTGAAATAATGATGTAGAACCATAGAACAATTCAATAAATCTTAAAGAATGATGCAATCATTCAATATCGTCAACAACCTTTCCTTCGTATTAAAAAAAAATAAAATTCAAAATATCTTTATTCATGTATGTCTATTACAGACTCTTATGATATGTCATATCTACCGTCAGTTCGGAATTTCGAGATGAGAAGAACTGACAAGAAACTCAGCTCGTATTATTTTCAAATAAATATTGTACATATTTACAATAATACAGATTCATTTTTAAATTCAAATTTGGGAGTGGACTGAAATATCCCTTGCTTACCATCGCATCACATCTATTGTAAATCAATTTTGACAGAGAAATTATAGGGTAATCAGACTTAATTTGGTACGAAATTGATTAAAAAAATTAACATAAAAATTATACCAGATGACTTTATTACCTCCTCGTTGAAATACCACACAAATTAGCCGATAGCCTCAAGTGTTGCCAGAAATTCTTACCTTCTTCGTGAGTCGTGAAATGTGCAGGTATTGTGAACTGGCTAATCCCAACCTGGTTACCAGTTGCCACCCGTATACCGTACGCAGTTGCTGGCCGAAGGTTCTGCAGTTCCACCGTTTGATGGATGTCCGTGTCTTTCCTGAAATATATACACAGAAAAAAAGTGAAGGGCGTTTTTAAGTTGCAGTAGTTAAAAACGCACTTAACTTTTTTTTTTAAAACATTAAATACCTTTTTTTATTGAATTAAATATTATTTTCTGGTATTTTAATTATTTAATAGATTTATATGATTACTTATATACATATATTATATTAAATTCTCGTGATGCAATGAGTGTTTATTATCAAACTCCTACAAAACTGCATTACCGACTTTTATAAAATTTTATGTGTATATCTGGGTAGGTTGAGTATCGACCAACTTCGATACTCGTAGTATTTTGCATTTCTTTCAATGATAAGGGTGATCCAGACCTAAATATTGTTTTTATTTTTTTATGAACTTTTCTTATTTAAATTTCTTTGTGATTACTATTGACAATTTTTTAATTCTTTTTTTTGTGATTCGGTATTAAAAATACAATCTTAAATTTTCACCCTTTCACCATCAACACCTATTTTTTAATAGCGATATTAATTAATATAAAAACAACGTTTGACGGGTCAGTTAGTATTTATATGATATTGATATTATTCTGTTGAATTCCCCTATCATTATCACGTGTAAGACTAGAAATATTTAGTGAGGAAACCAATTTAAAACAATACATTTGCCATCTCACTCTTACCTGCTAACATTGATGTTAGTAGCATGTTCCCACACACTGTCACCGTACTGGGTGACCACGTATTGTAGAGTGTAGTGTCTGGCGTTAGCTCGTAGTGCATCCCGCCAGGAAACCACTGCTGTCCGCGCTCGTACCGTCTCTATATGAAGGTCTGAAGGTGGACTGGGTGGTTCTGGAAGATCAAAACACGATTTAAATCTATTAAAGAACATTTGTTTAATGTTGTATTGAAAATCGTTATTTCTGAACATGGAATGATGAAATTTTTTTGGGTTATATAATTGAATATTTTTTTCTTTATCTGGTTAATGTCACTGTAACAAGCGAACGAAGTCACGGGCACAGCTCGTATAATTTAAATACATTAAGTAATTAAATCATATTTACTGAGCAAAGCTAACTCACTAAACAATTACTTGAATGATGAGCGTACATGGCAATAGTTGTTCATGCACGGGATTTTCATTTAATATTAGACATAGACACCAATATAAATATACATTGTAAATAAACTGGCTTTAAAAAAGTAATTCAATTGAGTTTCTTGGTAGTTCTTCTCAATTGGATCTATATACTGAACTGGACGGTAGGGAAGAAATTATAATATAAAAAATTTGACGTTCATAAGCTGAGAAATCGTCCTATATGAATAAATATTTTTTAATTTGAATTTGAATTGATGTCCACAAAATAACACCTAGTTAGATAAGTAATTTATCTAGTATATTTTCATCGATTTTTTTATATACTGAAGCTGATACTACCTAATATCGTTAATCGCATATTGTACGTAGCAACTCCGTATGGGTTGCTGGCTCTGCACTGGTACAGGCCAGCATCCATTGTCTCTGAATATTGCACACTTATAGCACTAAACACTCCTTGGTTAGTCTTCGACTCTGAAATCTTCATCCTGAAATGGAAACCACATTCATATTACATGACGTCTCGACAACCTCGGTGGTCTAGCGGTTTAGCACATCGCCTTACTTTGATTAGTCGCGGGTTAGATTCCTCGGACAGTACATACATTTGATGATACAATTTTATGAACATGAGTATAATAATAATCTCAGGACATTTCACACAGCGCCGTCTAGTCCCAAGTTAAGCTACCTAAAGCTTGTGTTACGGGTACTAGATAACTGATAGAAGTACATAGATATTTTTTTTGTAAATACATACATATTATACATAGAAAACACCCAGACCGATACAAACAATCATACTCATGAATACAAATGTTAGTGCCGTGCGAGGAATCGAACCCGCGACCATCGGACATAAAGCGGTGTGCTAGACCGCTAGAGCACTGAAGTCGTCATGTTGTTTGTATGATTGCTTGTATTGATCTTAGTGTTTTCTTTGTAGATGTTACACATTTATAATGTAACATACATATACACCAGTCACATATTTACTACTATGATATAAAAAATGGCAAACAGTATAGTTATACTATACATAGGTATACTATTTACAGTAGAATTTTTGAATATACCTACTTATTTAGATACGACAGCAATTTTCATTGACTTAATATAATATTTATTTTTAAACTTTCACCTTTATTACAGATCATTTATGAAGTTAAACGGGTTTTAACACGAATAATTTTATGGTAAATAAATATACATCAAAATACATATATATATAGAGCAATAAGAGCGATAGAGGTAAATATCTTTATCTATACATATAAATAAAATCGGACTGTCTGTTTGTAATATTGAAATAATCGTTTTGCACTACATGCATATGAATATAAATACGGTATATACACCAATATAACATTTTTTACAATGTTTGTCTGTCTGTCTGTTTGTTCCTGCTAATCTCTGAAATGGCTGGACCGATTTTGACGGGACTTTTTTTGGCAGGTAGCTGATGTAATAAGGAGTAACATAGGCTACTTTTATTTTAGAAAAATAAAGTTAAATTCCACAGGGACGAAGTCGCGAACAGCTTTACCTTAGACCTTAGCAGTTTACCATAAAATTAGTGTTAGGTACCTATAATGCCGAAATTAGTAACTAATAAAATAGACACTATAAAATTGTATATAATTATTGTAATTCATTATTATCATATTATTCAAATATTCATTAACTATAATGAGAAATAATAAATGCTAATAAAGTTCCTGCAAAATAAATTTGAATAACAATATGGAAATATGTTCTAATAATATTCAGTTTCGATTTAAATTCTCAGATACTATCTTGTCTGTAATAATTCCTAAGACGAAACTGTCCTAACGCGAAAGTTTGTCAGTATGGATGGATGGACCATCAATACTCACAAACTTTCGCGTTGATGCAAAAATTATTGAACATTTCGATAAAACTTTTCGTTAATATAGCTTATACATCAGAAAAACACATAGGACACAATTTAAAAAGATATTGTGCAAATTGGGTGAAATATTATGATAAATGTCAAGTAAATGTGATGGCGATGAAGTTGCCTGGGTCAGATAGTTATATATATACAAATTAATTAATTTATATAAAGTTTATTTAAATACGAAATAAGTGGAAACGAGAGGTATACCATCGGAATCTCTTTTAGTTGAGTAATAATAAAATAACCCAAAAACAATTAATATATGGCTACGTATTGTTTCTTCTGGTTTTTCCAGTGGTTTTCTGGTTTTTAGTAGTGGGACACAAGATGGCGGCCTATGAACAGTGATTCGAACAAAAAAGACATTATACGAGCAGCCAGCGAACGGAACGGTTGTGTTGTGCGCATGTATGCCTAATGAGGCAAAACATAATGGGACATCATATTTTACACCAAAAACCGAGTCGCAGGGATGTTAGAAGTAAAAGAGAACAGATTTTGATTTTTCCAAATTTATTGTTTCTTTGTCTGTTTGTACAGGCTAATCTCCGAAACTGTTGGACCGATGTAAACGAAATTTTGCATGGAGGTAGCTGTTATCCCCGGTCAACATCTTAGTTAGTTTTAAACACTGAAAAATGAAAATTAAAGAATTCTCAAGGGATAGTTAAAAATCTATAGTAACATATACAGCTTAGTACATAGCCTGCATAAGTCGACCGCACGTCATTTCACGTCATTTGTTAATTTTGGGCCAGTATTTCCAGACATATTAAATATATAGGTACATACATACATCGATATATAATAAACTTACAAACCTGTGAAAATTTAATATAATGGCTTTAGTTTTGTAGTTACGATCTTTTTACAAACTGTAGGAATGTTCAAATTCATTGATATAATATAATTTCAAAAAAGAAATCTTCAAAATAATCCAAACTTTCTTTATAAATGTTTTCTCTTTTTTGTAAGCCGACGCAAAAAAAGATTATATTTGTGTGAAAGTGTGTGTGTTAAAATTTACAGGTTGTTAATTTTTTTTTAAATACCCGTGAGAAATCTTGGCAAGCCGCTATAGAGTATAAAAGAATTTCGCTACCCGTTGTCTGTCTGTACCTATGTATGTTTTGATCTTAAAAAGATACGTGGATTTTAATAAGTTTTTTTTAATAGACAGATTAGATAGTGTGACTCAAGAGGAAGTTCTAAGCTATATAACATCCCACTACTGAGCAGTATAACCTATAGTCTACGCGGGCGAAGCCGCGGATGGAAGCTAGTCCCAAATAAATTTGATTTGATTTGGTTAATATATATAATACGTACCTCTGATTTTGTGTTTCAACAAGATTCCCATCATGCATCCATGTCACTCTTATAGGGTCATCTCCGAGCGGCCTGCACTCCAGTGTTACAGGGTGTCCCAAACGGGATGTCAGGTTTGTCGATGATGCTTCGAAGTGAACAGGCTCTATAACACCGATAGTATCTAATGTTAATTCTAATAACTATTGTATATATAATATATCTACTATATACAGTTGCTAATTATTTCCTACGTTTTACCATATATTTTATACTCTTTTACCTCTGGTAAGAGGTAAAAAAGTCCTTTGTGTTTGGTTACCTCAGTCGGTATTTCCTTCACTAAAGAGTCAGTCAAAAATACAAACTCGGTTGTCTGGTTATTTAGCACACCGTCTTACATCCAATGGTTGCGGGTTCGATTCCTCGCACAGTACAAATATTTGTATTCATAAGTATGATTGTTTGCATCGGTCTGGGTGTTTTCTATGTATGTTGCTGTATTTTTAAAAAAATATCTATATTTTGTATTAGCTGTCTAGTACCGACAACACAAGCTCTGTTTACCTTTAGAGTAGATGGCGTTGTGTATATTGTTCTAAGATATTATTATTATTATAAATTGACAAGCAAAGTTTTTTATTTGGTGTCAAGCAAATTTAAACTTACCTCTTGAGTGTCATTCAGGGTAGTAAATCACTAGGTGATAACACTCTCATACATAATAAATTATAATGCCGTATTTACAAAGTCATTATAATTTTATTACAGTAATAAGAATTCTGCAATTTTTTTGACAAAATAATATAATTCAGTTAAGTAAATATTTATTTATACTAATAATATACATCAATGTTTATTTAAAAGAGCAACACACAAGTTTATTGCTCATTCTTCTTGTGATGAGTCTGCATTCCGAATGAGCGGTAGAATAAAAAGACTTAACTATTCAAAAGTGCTTATATTAAGTTTATTTGAATAAATCTTATCACTACGACTGATTTAATCTTATTGCATATTTATATTTGACCCAAAAAATTAGTGCTTGTTGGTAGTTTGTATTCACACGTTTCGACTTGTAAATGTAAACTTACAAGGATTATTTAAAAGAGCAACACACAAGTTTCTTGCTCGTTCTTCTTGTGATGAGACAGCTTTCCGAACGAGTGGTAGATAAAAAACAAATTGTTATGACTATTCAAAAGTGCTTAAATTAAGTTTATTTGAATAAATGATTTTCTATTCTATTCTAAAGATTATGAGCGATAGAATAAAAAGACTCGACTATTCAAAAGTGCTTATATTATGTTTATTTGAATAAAGATTATTTCTATTTCTATTTTATATTGTACATAATTCTGTTAAGTAATTATTTATTTATTTTAATGATGTACATACTGTTTACGCTCATCCAAACAGTCTTGCTTAGCGGCTGACCCACTCCGTTCTCAACATTACAGGAATACAATCCTTCATCAGTCAGAGATACCTCTTCTATAACTAATGTACCATTTGGTAGACTCAAGATGCCACCTCCAGCTAGCTCTAAAACTGGCTGCCATGTTCCTAAAATAGCTGTAAAATCATGTTTTAATAATATATTTAATCCAGTGTTGGAGTTACAGAATTATAAAAGTATTCTTAAAGTTTTGTTTTTGAAACACCTATTATATAAGCTTAAAAAATTAAATAAAGTCTTTAGTGTATTAATGAGTGAGTCTTTGGTGGTCTCAATAAAGATATATAATACACATTAATAATAGAAATATTATCCATTTTATGTAAGAACATAAATACAGCGTTTAAAATGATGTGTTTGAGGTAAAATATGTTTGACACTTTTGTGATTAAAGTAAATTAACACAACAATGGTGGATTAGTGGTTTAGCATACCGCTTTACTTCAAAATGGCCGCGGGTTCGAACTCCTCTCATAGTGCAAACTTTTGTATTCACGAGTATGATTGTTTGTATCAATCTGGGTGATTTTTTATAATTTATATTAGACATAATAATTATACACAAAAAGAAATGAAGCATTATTAACAGTTGTCTAGTACCCATAACACAGCTCTGTTTAGCTTGGTGCTGTGTTATTATTATTATTATTATTATTATTAAATGTAGTACCGTCTTTCTTCATCCAGTGTACTTGTGGCTGCGGATACCCACTGGCACTACAAGACACTGTTCCTCTCCTGCCGAGCAGAAGCGAAGAGTTGCTTGGTTCTTCCACCCATTTAGGAGCCACTGAAATATATTTACACATATATACATCAATAAATACGTATCAATCAAGATTGAACACAAAACGAAGGTTATGTTTTGATTTCTAAAAAAAATCTTTAACTTCTATAGTCTAGGATTTACAAATAATTTAAGTAGCTATGACGTAGTTGAGTAGATTGCGTAGTCATGTTCACTGAAATGTCCTGACATGTGGTGGCGTGGTGGGCCGAGTCATTGGGCTCCTTTAAATATGGTCAAGCGCAGTGATAGCTGGCTCATACGTCTTACTCGTGAACGAGTGCAGCTTGTAGGGACTGGTCTGCTCTGATCACTACGACTGATTTAATCTTATTGTGTATTTAATATTTGTCCCTAATAAATCAGTCCTGGTTGGTAATTTGTATTCACACGTTTTGACTTAAAAAAGTAAAGCTACAACGATTATTTAAAAGAGCAACACGTCAGTTTCTTGCTCATTCTTCTTGTAATGAGACTTTTTTGTTATTATTATTTTTTTTATTAGATTGAGCTTTTTTGTTATTATTATTAAAAGGATAACTATGACAATTCAAGTGTGCTTAAATTAGCTTAGTTTATTTAAATAAAGGATTTGAATTAAGACTTGATTGCAGATATGAATTAAATTAACACAGTTAATTCTCGTAACATACAAACTATTTACCAATCTAAACAAAATTGTGATCACATTCAAATATTGCAAAAGGCATCAGTGAAATCCTTACAGTTACTGGCTAAGATATTGCGCAATGCACTAAAGAAAATATCATCAAGAAATACAGAGAAAATACTATTTCCATTTGGCAAACGTTAGTAATGAGATTTGTATTTGTTACTTAAGTAAATATTCTACAGAGAAAATATTAATGCATCTTAAAACTGGAAATAATTGAATAAAATTTACTTATATTTTACGAATAAGTTGAAAGCATTGAAGAGGGAGTAAGTGAAGTAAATTTAAATTTCAGTAAATTGGAATTACATAGTTTAATAATTAATCGACGACCTCTCACCGGTGGTCTAGCGGTCTAGCTTTACGTCCAATGGTCGCGGGTTCGATTCCTCGCCCGGCACAGACATTTGTATTCATGAGTATGATTGTTTGTATCTGTCTGGGTATTTCCTATGTATATTATGTATGATTTACGAAAAAAAATGATCTATATATTTGTATCAGTTATCTAGTACCCATAACACAAGCTTTAGCTAACTTGGGTCTAGATGGCGCTGTGTGAATTGTCCTGAGGTTATTATATTATATTATTAATAATACCTTTAATGTAGAGTTCAGTGGATCGATTGACTTTTGCAACGTGATTTGAAGCAACGCATATATATGTACCGCAGTGTTCTAAAGACACTTTCTTAATTACTAGTGCACTAAACAATTCGGAACTTCTTTCAACAACCTGCAAGCAGAGAAATGAACAATTACTTTATCCTTATATGTAAGTACCGCTTTATGTTTAGTAGTATCATCGACTTTATGTTTCATAGATTTTTTTTATTATTTGATCAGTATGATGTAATAAATATTTCAAAATATGTGGCATACAGTTTAAATATATTTTATTCTAAGTATTTTTTTTTATATAAACTCTTTATTGCACCAGACAAAGAAAACAACAAAATGATGTATTACATAAACTGATACAAAGGCGGTCTAGAAGAAATAGATGAAGAAGAAGATAAAGATAAGAAATATGTAGCTAGAAATAGCTGAGAAATCTCTTCCAGACTCTGGTAGTCTGGAAGAAAAGAGAAAGTACCATTAAGATAAGAAAGGGGTAGGTGTGCACGTAATGAACATAAATATATACATTAAGTAATGAAATGATAACAGAAATTATAATAATTAGCATGTTTTTTTTCCTTTTTACGATTGTGATCATATGTACTGTCATTGCTACTTCGTTTTCCTTCACCTTTAAACTGTTTGGTATCCTCTTGCCATCCTTAAGCCATTCAAAATGTATAGGCAAATCTCCACTCCTAACATTACAATAAATATTAACTATTTGTCCTTCTTGTAAATTATTTCCTAATAATAAATCTTCTAAAATTGGAGCCTCAATAACTTGTATCTCAAAAGCTCTTCTTGCCATTTCTCCTGAAGGACTTGTAACTATACATGTATATACAGCTCCATTCTGTTCCTTGCTTACTTCTGCAATGTTCAGTACTCCATTAATATTTACAGATGGGACTTCTCTTCGTATCTTTCTTTTTGTATGATGTAAATTTCTTTTATATCTTTGAAATAAATTATTTGTGTTTAATATTTGTCCATTGTGTTCCCAATCAATTTTGCTGAAAGGAAAATTTGTTCTTTTTTTATTTCTTAGAAAAACAACAGTTTAGAAATATGTAATGTATTTCTAAAATAAATATGTAATCAATATTGTTATTCTTAGTCATGCAACTAGTAGCAACAGACTTAACCCTTAAGATTTCTGCAGAATTCACAATGGATTGGAATGGAATAAACTGAAACCAGCTAAAAACAGACCATCTGATGATAAGTGGTGACTTGCGTCTACTTATATGAATGTATTATACATGAATCGTACTACAGATATCATGCTATCATGTGACGCTCCTGATCACTCCGGGTTGCCATTTTGGAGAACAGATGTTGGATGGAGCATTGTATCTTGTAATATCACTGCAATATTTTGCTTCAACCGAAACACAATTTACAATGCAAGCAAATCCCATTTGTTACTGTAAGCAACAATGTCATTTTTGTGATTTACTGCATTCGAATTGAAAATTTAGGCCCATAATTTTAGTTGCCTTAAATTTTCGCTAATATTAACCAAATTCCATTTAACAAAAATGGAACATTTGTGAATACAACACACACGAATGTACGGTATAGTTTTCTAAATACACTATAAGTAACATTTACAATTTATTGATATAGAGTATGTAGGTATTAAATTTAAACACATATATGAGTATACTCTTATATTGACAGGTCTACAATAATACTTAGAATTACGAAGTGAAATGAAATTATTGTTGAGATTAAAATCTTTGTGAGCACGGTGTCACAGTAGTACAGCGAGCGGGCGACTAAGAAATCATTAGCACTCGGGTATCGGAGCCAACGTTTGTGTATGCGTAGCTGTAGGTAACACTAACATTGAGCCACTACAAGTATATGATATGATAAATATGTATATACTTAACATATGAGTAAAATGATTACAATATACAGATAGACCCTAAGGTAGAATAAGGTACATAAAAAATGAGATAGTATTATTTATAGTCTCAAATAGTAAGCAAGTATTCTTAGCTGTAGATTTAAGTTAGAGCATCAAGGTTTGAATTGAGACTATTTTAAAGGTAAAAAAGTCACATAGCAAAAAATCGTTTATATTTTGCCATAATGAGTGTTATGGTGATTTCATAGCTCCGAGCTATGTCTAAGAACTACGAAACTACTTTTTGCTATCACGGTTCGGAATGGAAAGCTGTTAACGGTCCGCAGATTAGAAAAGTTTTAACGGATCTGTTAGCAATCGGAATAATGAATTCCGTTTTTAAAATTTCTCGACGTTGGAATTTTCTATTCGTTTGTGGACTGACGGTAGTTGGTATAAAATTATACGTAACGGTTGATTAGTCTTTTTATAGAAATTATACATTTAAGAAAATTTTTATCTATTTTTTGTTGGAGGCGAAATTAATTACAATTCAATGCGGCAGAAAGCATATCGCAATCTCTCGGATTATTTTTTGGTTGAATATCGATGTTTTCTTCAGAAATGTGAATTGAAACACAGTTTCTTTTGTTACTTGAACTTAAGATTTCTTGGATATAAATTGGTACAGTAAACCAAGCCACGTCGTTTTCAAACAGTGTAGCCTAATTGAGAACTGTCTGTCTTCATTAATAAAATATTCGGCGTCTTAATTACTCTCCATTAAAAGAAGAGCCTCATTATCCACCCATATAACAATAATATATTAGTACTTACGAGTACATATAATGTAAAAAGATTTTCTTTATTTAATTTATATTTTTCCACGTATGTTAGTATGCTCAAGTGAACAACAACTTGTACACATTTTATAAACAGGATGTGTACAATTATTTATGAACTCCCGATATTCCGATACAACATCCAGGACGTTTATATAATGCGTACAAAAGTTTAAAACATTCATAAACAACTTACCTAATAGGATATCCGTAATAAGGGCATCGTAAGTTGACAGATTCCCCACTTTGAATTTTTATTGGCGGTAATGACCTGATGTATGGTGGTCCTGAAAATTTATACTTTTAATACATTTGTGGTAGTATATTACAGTAATACATTTAGGGTATGGTTTTTAGTGAAGTAGCTTTGTTTACCATAATAATGATATATGATTTTAAAATGAATGTAAGCCAAAATTAAAATTGAAATGAAATTTAATAATTTGACAGTACCTATAGATTTTGCGCATATGGTAAAGAATTTTTGCAATCAGAATATCAAACCAGCTGCTAGCTCACTTGATGGTATGAGGTACCAGTCGCCAGCTGTTAGTATATATATAACTTAACAGCATTTCAGACATAACGTCATCATCAAGTTTGTGGTATATCACTCAGACATTTATTTAGTGTATATGTATTATTATTTTAAATCGGTCTTTTAACACAGTTACACTAGTGTGAAAGAAAGGCATATCTTGAATACTATTAATTACTATTAAATAGACGAGGGAACTTGTTGAAACATTGGATACAGCGCAAGAAGTATATGAATATTATAATTGAAGGAAAAATAGAAGAAAAGAGACGAATGCCCGGACACAGTTGTATAAAGCAAAACAATAAATAAATTGGAGACGTATCGTATCAACATTTAAAGTGGCAAGAGTTCCATTCAGAGCATGGTTTTTCTTTACATAGTATAAAATGAATTCGCTTCCGATGCTGTTCGTTTAGATCATTTAAATTTCGCAACGGATTTGCAGTTCTTAGAAATAGATAGAATTATTGAAGAGGAAGGTTTTGATACATGTATACCCGTGCGAAATCGGGGCATGTAGCCCCTCCGATCGATCCCCCGTTTAATTCAACGGGGATCGATGTTACGACGGCCTGAGTCGAAGTTCAAACCCTAGTGTTGCCCTCAGACTAAAGTCGTATCCGTCAGGCAGGAGCTGGCCTTCAGGCGCTCCATAAGTCCTTCCGCGGGTTTGGAGTGTCATTTGCACTCGCCCATTATCGTCCGGTGAAACTGTAAAGGCCAGCTGCGGCCAACAGCGTTAGAGTCATCCGAAAAAAAAAGGGGCATGGAGCTAGTAAATTATTAATGAATGAGCATAGTTTTAGAATGTATATATGTCTAAGAGACTATAACAATTCCATAGATAAATTATATATCTTACCATAAACATCAAGTCTGTTTTCATGAGACGCAACATGATCTCCCTCTCTTGCTGTACACGAGTACACACCGCCATCTTCTACTCTCACCCTGGTGATGTTGAGTTGGGCGACAACTGAGTTATCTGACGTCATCACTTGACCTAAAGCGTATCTGGAATTGATGATGGAAAGATTATTTTTTTAACTCTCGACATAAAATCAGGGCTACTTTGTATTGTAGGTATATTTTTTTCTAAAGAGTTTATTATCGTGGTTAAGCCATTTCATTGGACGGCCTCGGTGGTCTAGCGGTTTAGGATACTGCTTTATTTCCGATGGTCGCGGGTTCGATTCCTCGCACGGTACACACATTTGTATACATGAGTATGATTGTTTGTATCGGTATGGGTGTTTTCTATGTATATTATTGACTTAATTACAAAAAAAATGTCTAAGTACTTGAATCAGTTATCTAGTACCCATAAGACAAGCTCTGCTTTCCTTGGACCTAGACGGCACTATGTCAGTTGTTCAGAGTTATTTATTTATTTATTCCAGCTTTCTCGTGAGGTAGGCAGAATAAATGCTTACGCTTTTAAATGTAAAAATTACCTATTTTCAGTATAACTAGTAACAATTACGCCATCTCTTTCCCACACAAATTGGGGTGGTCTGTCCCCAGTGGCAGCACATTGCATGCTAATCTGAAAAAAGGAAAAATCATGTATCATCTGTAGGAATTTGTTTTAGGTTGACTTTGTACAAAGTAATCTGCGTTGGTATCTCTTTATCACCTATTTCCACAAAGCAGTTTTGTTAACAGTGTTTCGGTTGACGAATGAGATACAGCAGAAATTACAGAGTATTTATTTTGAAATTTCCAGATATAACAAAGCTGAACATATATTGGACTTTGCAGGCGAGCCTGTATTGCAGGAGTCTACAAAGTATTGCTAGATGTTAATAACTATTACAGATCAGTGAGTAGTGATGATATTTTAGTTCGGCGATCAAAATTACGACGGCTTGCCCCGATGTTCAAACCCTTAGCGATGCCCTTATACCAAAGTTGTATCAGTCAGGCGTGTGTTGGTCTTCAGCCGGAGCGGCTGGTCTGGCTGATCAGTTTTTAGAAATAGATAGAATGATTGAAGAGGAAGGTTTTTATACATGTATACTCGTGCGAAATCAGGGTATGTAGCCCCTCCGATCGATCCCCCGTTCAATTCAACGGGGATTGAAGGTTCAAACCCCTAGTGGTGCCCTCAGACTAAAGTCGTATCCATCAGGCGGGAGTTGGCTTTCAGCCGCTCCATAAGTCCTTCCGCGGGTTTGCAGTGCCATTTGTACTCGCCCCCTATCATCCGGTGAAGCTGTAAAGGCCAATTGCGGTTAACAGCATTAGAGTAGTCCGAAAAAAAATTCTTCGGTATGGCAATGCGTGAGTTCTACAGGCATCGATTCATGACGTGATACTCGTCGTGCTCTTTAAATATAGACGATCTGCTTTCTCTATCAAATGAGCTGTCAATGCTTGTGAAATGGTAGTGAATTCTAATATTGAACTATACTTACATCACCGCCAGGCGTTACTGTCCTCTCAGTGAAGTGTTGTGTGATGATTACCCTATTCTCAGGTAAACTTCTATACCTTCTATGGGAGTCTGGAAAGAAACATTATTTATATACAAGGTGATCTCGTAAACGATTTTATATAACTAGGATTGATTTTGTTATTCGAAATAAAAGATACTAACGGTTATTTATCAGTATAATAACTATGTTCTAATTTGATTCATATGGAAGTACATGGTCAGCTATATCTGGTAATAGTTTTAATGGCACGGTTTTACTTATTTAGGTAAGGATTTTATTTTCGCAAAATGTTTTTGATTACGTCTTTATAAAGTTCAGAATAGAATGAAACTAAGACGGTCATTCTAATTATAAAAAAAGAATGCTCAAATCAGTTTACAGTTATGGACATAAATTTAATTTTTTAGGGGCTGTAGTAATTTTTACATGATGCATATGTAATACATTTGACACATTCTAATAACAGTTATTATAATAACTAAATATAGGATTTTTTAAAAATATAATTTTAAAGGCTAATTTATATGCTGTCGAATTGGGAGCTAGAGGTATACCATCGAAATCTCTCTAGTTAGTGCAGGCGGTTGCATCATTTGACGACCTCGGAGGTGTAGCGGTTTAGCTCCGCTTTACAGCTGATGGTCGCGGGTTCAATTTACACGATATAAACATTTGTATTCATGAGTACGATTATTAGTATCGGTCGGGGTGTTTTTTACGTATATCATTTATATATTTAATAAAATATATGGATTTATCAGTTGTCTAGTACCCATAGTACTGGCTCTCACACGGTGAATATATGGAATGTTATGAAATTCGTCTCTCTGTACAGACAGCAGTCCGTTACAATTTTATACATAGGTACTGATATTAATTTAGATATATAGCTTGTAACTTAACTTACTAGAACATAAGGTTGCTAAGCAACGATACCAAGATGGCGGATTGGGTGCGAAAGGAATTAGTGCGTAAAATTGTTGATTAGGGCGGTAACTGGTACTGCAGTTGCATTTCCGGTATCGGTATATATTGGTTACGTATACAATGCTATCATGCTATACATTAAATGGAAGGACGAGAAGGTACCAAATATAAAACATAATAACGTGATGTTCGTAGTGTTGTTCATGTATATTGGTAATGGTTACCGTTTACCATCAGGTGGGTCTACTGTTTGACTTTCCAAATAAATAAAAAACAGCTGAGTTTTACTGAAGACTATTGTAAAATTTGCAAAATTTTGTGTAGACTTATAATGTTTTTTACTTTGACATTGAAAATCTTATAGGTACTAGTTATATATATTTATATTTCTATTTATAAACTTCCTTATTTAATACATATTAATTCAGCTCGTGATTACAGCTAGTGTAACTTAGTCGAATAGTCGGGAGTGGTAAATACCTTTCTTTACCATAAAATTATTTGTACTAAGAGGTACTGATAGATATATGAGAATGTATATTCATTTTTGTTAACCTGTCAATATTATTATTCAATATTGGATCCCGCCACTGCAGAGAACAATGGCGTAATATTCATCAAATATTGCACTACTCATTGTATTGGGCAGTACAGCAAATTCAATATACTATTGTAACCATCCCTCCGATCGATTCCCCGTCCAATTCAAACGGGGATCGATATTACGACGGCCTGAGCCGAGGTTCGAACACCTAGTGGTGCCCTCAGACTAAAGTCGTATACGTCAGGTAGGAGTTGGCCTTCAGCCACTCCATAAGTCCTTCCGCGGGTTTGGAGTGCCATCTGCACTCGCCCCCTAACGTCCGGTTTTTTTTTTATTATTTGGTATATAATCTTCAATGTGAGCAAATTGTGAAACAGTAAAGTTCGCATATGATTTGAATAAATAAATATTTTTATTATGGCAACATTTTATCTCTGAACTTGTAGAGAGTCGAAGGCAGATTGCAATTACCAGCAATAATTACATTCCGGAACAGATTGCGCGGTAACGAAGGGCTCCCTCGTAATGAGATGCAGCCAGTGGCTATGTTATCACTGATTAGAGGGTGCCGTTCAAAATGGCGGAAGATTTCTAGAACAATCTCTCGCTTTTTCTTAATTTTCGGAAATAACTTTATCTTTATCTATCAGGAATGGCGTTGGAGTAGTTTTTACCAAGGCAGGCTTTGTCGAGAGTAACCTCATAATACCTTAATTCGACCTTCGAACAGCTTCCTTGTGTTTTATAGTGTATACATTTTTATGAAGGGCAGAATGGAATGGAATATAGTATGAAAATAAGTTGAGAGTAAATTCAAAATGGCCGAAGATTTCTAGAAGAATCTCAAGCTACTTCTTAATTTTTGGAAATAACTTTATCTATCAAGAATGGCGTTGACGTGGTTTTTACTAAGGCAGGTCTAGCGGTTTAGCACACCGTTTTACTTCCTACAACTGTGGGTTCGATTCCTCGCACGGCACAAACATTTGTATTCATAAGTATGATTATTTGTATCTATCAGTTGTCTAGTACTCATAACACAAGCTTTAGCTAGCTTAACTTGGCCTTCAAACAGCTCGCTTCGTAGTATTTTATAGTGTATACGTCTTTATAAAGTGCAGAATAGATTGGTATATAAGATGAAACTAAGATGAGAATAAATTAAAAATAGTAGAAGATTTCTAGAACAATCTCTAGCTATTTCTCAATTTTCGGAAATAAATTTCTCTTTATCTATCAGGAATGGTGTTGGAGTGTTTTTTACCGAAATAGACTTTGTCCAAAGACAAGTCCTCTGGAGTAGAATTGCAATATCATGGCATCATGTGATAACGTGATACCAGTAATCTGTGCATGTATTTAGGCGACGGTTAGCAATAATTGTGTTACCTTTTAGTCTATTGAAGTTACATCCTCAAAATCGTGATGACCGTGATACGCGTACCCATTCCTGAGGACTATGGATACATGAGAATAAAATCATGAGACTATCTATAGTTGATCCTGCTTAATATAAACATTCAATATAAAAATATCAACCAAGATTTTAGCTATAAAAACTTCGTCGAAACACTACCCTCTGTAAATGCCTCTCATTTTTCACTCTGAAACCATATAAAGAGATAGGTCCTCGAAAATCTATTAGTCAGACACTCGCAAATAAAGGTATTCCACACGGGGTGTGCCGCGGCGCATCGTTCTCCATTCACTGGCTGATAAATAACGGCCATAAATAATCTGTCGGTGACGTCGGTCGTGTGGAGAGGCCTTAGTTTCTGTCACTTTCATATTACGGGTGTGTTTTACACCGAACGCATTTTGAAAAAGGAATACCTTTTTTTTTAAGAATAAGACATTTTTCTTTTTATAGGCTAATAGCAATCTTGACTGGTATGTATACTGCCAGCTATATAGAATACATTATATAAAAAAAATATATATATACACTTAATTTTTACTTATTTGCACCAAATACAGAGAATAATTACAATAGCAAGCATAGATTAACTGATACAAAAGGGGGTTTTACCGCTAAGCAATTTCTTACAGACTGCCTCTGGGTGGATAAAGAAAGGCAAGATAAGAAAAGGGTAGATAGTATTAATATATGTTCTTATCTTGAATGTACCTGTCATAATTTATATATATATAAATTAATCCCTATTTCTCTTGGTTACGGTATCAAGCGTGAACGGCTGGACCGATTTCGTAAATTTATTTTTTTGTTGTATTTCTTATTATCAGGAGAGTATTCCTATGAAAGATAAATTTAAGAAAAGTGCGCGGATTTTTTTTTATTAATTAATTATATGTATATTCATAGTTAAGACAGGATAAAGTCTGTCAGGTCTGACCCCCAGCCAGGTTGAATTCCGAGTCAATATACCCCACGGAATATAACCGTGTTAAGTTCCGCATGTATGTTATACCAGGACGTTGACAGTTGACTGGATACCCCATCTGGGACAACAGTTATGAAGTTACGCCATTTTTACTGTAGTTAGAAAGAGACAATGGTATGTTTCAATGTATCTAATCAATGTTCTACATCAGTAAGTACTCTCTCGTATTTGAAATTCGAATACAAACATGCACGAAACATCAAAATTCAAAGTCACTAATGAACACAAACTAGGGATGTGATGTTACGTCTAAAAAAATATCGATTAATCAATAATCGTTTAGTTTTGTTTCCGATATAGTCGATTATAAAGTATAATCTATTTTTATAAATTTCTTGATTTTTAGGTATTGTTTCCGGTGGTTTTCCTGTTTTGTCTTGGTTTTTCGTACTGATCCGATAAATGATAGCTATTATTAAATAATCGATTTATTGGGTAGTGACTATTACCCGCGACTTTGTCTAATTTTCTTATGTTGCTTGCTTATGTTCGTCCCTGCATAGAATTTTCACGTCCGATTCTTTCAACCGTTTAGTCATGAAAGGTAACAGACATATATATGAACAGATTTCCGGCATTTCTAATATTAGTATGGAAGTATGAATTAACATCGATTACTTGCCCATTTTGTAAAAATTACAGATTTCTTATAGTTAATAGTAGGACGTACAGACACAAATTACACACACAGAAGTAAAATATAAATAATAACAAAAAGAAATCTTAAATTAAATTAAAATCACAATAAAATAAAACAAATTTTAATAATTTTCACCAATAGTTAATCATTATTTACAAATAATCGATTTTTTTCCATAATCGTCAATTTTACACATCCCTAATTGACTACATTGTGAGTAGGTGCCGCATTTTATTGGAACGAAATGCCTTTTGTCGTCTGTACCGTTGGATTATGTTTGTTTTGTTTGGTACGCGACCCTCCTAATGATTCATAGCTGTGTAACTCGTGCACTGGCAAATTACGTAAAAGATTTTACGTACGATTTTATTTTCACGGAAAAACTGAGCGTTGTCTTTTTCTGCCAGATTGTTAGTAGAGCTATGTAATATTATGTTATCTGTGGTAGAACACAGTTAACACTTACTCGGTCGTGGTGTCATTTTGAGTGTATAAGTCAATATTAGTAAAAAAAAAAGTATTTTAACTAATATATTTTTAAATAATAAAGCAAAG